GCTAGCTCTTCCATTCACCTCCACGACCCTAACGGGTCAAGGGCTATGTTACGTTACGTATTTCCAAGACAACCTGTAAGAATTTAGCATCGGCTGCATGAGGTAGAAGAAAAAGATATACACTAAATACACCGTAGAGAGGAAATTAACAGCCTCTTGACAACAGTCAACAGCTTTTCGGTCTACCAAACTTAGTGAATGAGCTGCACAGAGCATATATATATATATATATATATATATATATATATATATATATATATATATATATATATATATATAACAAAACTTGCTTGTTTCTATAATAGTTTTGCTGCATCCCTCTATAACGCTTAGACAGGTTAGTAGCGCATCATAAGACTGACCCCTTCATTTGGGAAAGTGTAGCCTACAGGCTTCACGTAAGTACTCCAACACCTGATCCGCCATTTTCTCACCGGTATTTCCAGTGAGACAGTTACTAGATTAGAATTTTGCGACTTTCCAAGATTGTGGAAAATTTCCGGGGCTATGGAAAATTTATGTGATAGCCACTTTCCTTGATGTCCTTCCTGATCATAAGCCTATTTTGCTTTAATGGTGAATCCACCCCTACACATAGGGCTCGAGAACTTGCAAGAGATAGAGAGACTTGCAGGCGTACCGTGGCGAAATGGACGTTTTGGGTACAGGATCTACTGACTGATGATGATTGCGTACAGTTGCGTACGCGAAGAAAAACACTCGACTATTACTACTACTACTATTGCAGCAGCAGCTGCTGCTCATACTACAGCTACTGCGTCATCATCCCGAATTAGGGATATTAAGGCGGGGACAAGGTGGACGAATACTATAGGAATATATTCAAATAGGATATGAATGATACATGTATTGAGGTGGATTTGTGAGCGCAATATGCAGTTGACCGTGGCTGGGGAAATCAGAAAGGTAATGGGAATAATGGATACACATATTAGCGCAGATATCTCCAGAGCCGAGCGTCTAAGAAAAGGCACACTCAGATGCACATAATGGCAACATAGGTTCTGAAATCCTATGCTCTGTAATTGTGGAAGACCGGACTGGTCTTGCTAGTCACAATCGCCGTACCCATAGGCTGCGATTCTTATGCCAAGATATAATACAGTATAAGACGTCTGGGTTCTTAATTTATAACGTACCCCAAACACGAAATCCCCGTGGGAAATCCACAGCTGACCTGACAGTCCATTATTTCAAGCTGTAGATAAATCGCGAGAAACTACAACCTGGACACCCTAGAATTTATTGGGAATGTCTCCCGTGACGTTGTCGTGACGTCAGGGGTAAGTTATAAATTAAGTACCGACATCTGTCTAGAAAGACAGAAAGGTGCCAATAACAAAGGAAAACAATAATAAAGACACAAAGGATGTGATTATGAAAAGTAAAGTAAAAAAATGCAGATATGAGGAGGTATACATCATCTAAAAATGGAGAAAGATATTTAAAAAAAAACACAGGGGAGAAAGAGAGAGGGGAGATAGAGACACACACACACACACAGAGAGAGAGAGAGAGAGAGAGAGAGAGAGAGAGAGAGAGAGAGAGAGAGAGAGAGACAGAGAAGAAAAAGAAGAAGAAACGTGAGCATGCAGCAAACAACTTTTATCTGGGAGGTCAAGTTAAGGTCACAGAGGAGAGCTCCAGTTTTCCGGGCGAGGAGTCAATGTGAAGGACGAAGACAAAGTCGACGTCTGCAAGCCGCCGGCAACTTGTCCCGTCCAAGATTGTCCTCTACTGCTCGCATTCTACAGCTCTTTCTCGTCCCACTCGACCACAGTGAGTACCTTTCACTATCGTTACAGATAGTTGTGTGTTTACATACAAATAACCTACATTACTTTCAAATCAGAATTTAGTAAGTTGGATATAATAATTTTTATTTTGATTAATCAATCAGGACTCTAGCCACTAGCTATCTGCAAGGAAACGAAGGGAATTCACGATTTCCTACTTCTAGATCCGTGAAAGTTTGGAACACTAGTTAATGTTATAGTCAGTCGTCGCTGTCGAATATTTGAAGGGTTCGTTGTTTATAAATTTGTAAGGATGACGGGGTGAATTGTGAATTAAGAATCGACATCAAGCGCTCGGCACATTCCCATAAGTCAAGGCTATCAACTAAAATTAGCTCAAGGGCCAACATTTTGAAAACAGGTAACGTCACGGGCAAGCGGGCTGAGCCCCAATACTAAACAACTGGCTGTGATCTGCAGACCACTTTCTAGACCCCCATGGGTCAGATTTGGACTGCAGGCCACCAGTTGAATACCATAAGCGCCATTTCCCCTAGCAAGCGCAAAAGTTCCAATTTCTATGGCACCAGTAACTGTCTGATTGTATATTCGTCTCTCCTTTCCCTTGAGTGTTGAGCGTCAGCCAGATACCCTAGTAACTACTTGTTGCACTGTTCTCTTCAGACCGTGATGAATGGGGTATCAGGGTTCTTCTTCTTTTTCATGTTCACCAGCTGTAAACTAAGGCAGAAAATCTTATTGTTCGTCCACCTCTGAAATTTAGTCTTGTTCCAGAACCTAAAAATTTCATGCACATCGCCTTACAGATCTGACATTTGTGTGTGTACGTTGTTGGATCCATGCCTCTCAGACAGATTCATTCTAACTTTGAACTCTTACGACATGCTTGTTGGGGAGACAACAGGTCTGTGTCTGTTTTCCACACAATGGGGCCCCGGAACCCAAACTGGGATATGAGATCTGTTCCTGTTGGATTGACATCCTGTTTTGGCCTTATGAGACACATGAAAGCCATCCCTCTTGAGTTCATCTCCATCCATTGGTTTTCTCGTTTAGTTTAGTTGTCACATCTACTGGATGTGGCCACAGGTTCCTTCCGAGCTCCTCCAGGAGAAGACAGTCTTGCAAGACATCTTCTAGGGTCTGTCCAGCAATGGGACACTGACAGAGAGCTGTCTGGCTTATACCAAAATAATCTGTGTTTGTTGAGTCTGTAATGTCCTGTGCTTAAGCAGATGGATAGTATGAGTCTAATGTTCTGTACTTAAGCAGATGGATAGTATGAGTTTGTAATGTTCTGTGCTTAAGCAGATGGATAGTATGAGTTTGTAATGTTCTGTACTTAAGCAGATGGATAGTATGAGTCTGTAATGTCCTGTGCATAACAGATGAATAATATGAGTCTGTAATGTCCTGTGCTTAAGCAGATGGATAATATAAGTCTGTAATGTCCTGTGCTTAAGCAGATGGATAGTATGAGTCTGTAATGTCCTGCACTTAAGCAGGGATAATATAAGTCTGTAATGTCCTGTGCTTAAGCAGATGGATAGTATGAGTCTGTAATGTTCTTGTATCTCACTCCTGCATGGTTTCCACTAGAATGCTAACTGGCCAAAGTTGGTATCTCACTCCTGCATGGTTTCCACTAGAATGCTAACTGGCCAAACCTGGCATCTCACTCCTGCATAGTTTCCACTAGAATGCTAACTGGCCAAACCTGGCATCTCACTCCTGCATGGTTTCCACTAGAATGCTAACTGGCCAAACCCGGCATCTCACTCCTGCATAGTTTCCACTAGAATGCTAACTGGCCAAACCTGGCATCTCACTCCTGCATGGTTTCCACTAGAGTGCTAACTGGCCAAACCTGGCATCTCACTCCTGCATGGTTTCCACTAGAATGCTAACTGGCCAAACCTGGCATCTCACTCCTGCATGGTTTCCACTAGAATGCTAACTGGCCAAACCTGGCATCTCACTCCTGCATGGTTTCCACTAGAATGCTAACTGGCCAAACCTGGCATCTCACTCCTGCATGGTTTCCACTAGAATGCTAACTGGCCAAACCTGGCATCTCACTCCTGCATGGTTTCCACTAGAATGCTAACTGGCCAAACCTGGCATCTCACTCCTGCATGGTTTCCACTAGAATGCTAACTGGCCAAACCTCTTAATAGCTGTCTTGAAGGGAGGTTGAGTCCTTAGGATTGAGTTCTGTATGAGAAGTGTTTCAATAGCTGTCTTGAAGGGAAGTTGAGTCCTTAGGATTGAGTTCTTTATGAGAAGTGTTTCAATGGCTGTCTTGAAGGGAGTTTGAGTCCTTAGGATTGAGTTCTTTATGAGAAGTGTTTCAATGGCTGTCTTGAAGGGAGTTTGAGTCCTTAGGATTGAGTTCTTTATGAGAAGTGTTTCAATGGCTGTCTTGAAGGGAGTTTGAGTCCTTAGGATTGAGTTCTGTATGAGAAGTGTTTCAATGGCCGTCTTGAAGGGAGGTTGAATCCTTAGGATTGAGTTCTTTATGAGAAGTGTTTCAATGGCTGTCTTGAAGGGAAGTTGAGTCCTTAGGATTGAGTTCTTTATGAGAAGTGTTTCAATGGCTGTCTTGAAGGGAGTTTGAGTCCTTAGGATTGAGTTCTGTATGAGAAGTGTTTCAATGGCCGTCTTGAAGGGAGGTTGAATCCTTAGGATTGAGTTCTTTATGAGAAGTGTTTCAATGGCTGTCTTGAAGGGAAGTTGAGTCCTTAGGATTGAGTTCTTTATGAGAAGTGTTTCAATGGCTGTCTTGGTCTGGGTGTTTTATTGTAACCTGAAAACTACAAAACCACGCACCTCCTCCCTGTGAAGTAGAGACTTAAAAAAGTCAGTACTATAATATTGTCATTTCTCGCTCGCATGTTTAGGGCCCCGGTGTCGGGAAAACAGTAGACGCTGTTCCTACCCAAAAGTATTTTGTAAGAATCGACTAATTGGGAGCTTCTTTCAGAGTTGGAGTGCATCTGTCTGAATGGTGAGGAACCAACAGTCTGCATTTAGATAAGTCAGTTATGTAAAATGGATATGCATACAGCACTCAGGTTCTGGAATGCAGCCATTGAATGCGTAGAAGAAGAAGAAGAAATTGTCATTTTGTATTACATTTGTCATTATTTACTAAAATATTTAACTACGTTATATTTGTGTTGACAGGTATAATTTAGAAGTTTTACTGAAAAGTCTGCAATCATGCCAATCAAGTCAATCCATGCTCGCCAGATCTACGACAGCCGCGGCAACCCTACTGTCGAAGTTGACCTGACAACTGACAAAGGTAAATACATTGTTCATATGAGGGTCAGAGAAAAGTATTGGGGAATGCTTGTTGTAACAGTCAGTTTTTCTTCACATATTTAGAATGGAGCTTCCTGTGTCAATTCTGGGGCCCTATTTTGATGGTTTGGATGGATGGGGGTGTGGGGAATAGACCAACTTCTTTTTAACAAGAATGTCATAAATGGCAACTAAGTATTTGCTGAAATTGGATGTGTTTGGGTAAGAGTTGCACATATCACATTCTAGCTGTAAACTACAAAACAGTCCTGTTGTTAGGGAGGCTGTGTGATCTCGAGGCATGGTGTGGAGAGGAAAAAACCACTGACCCCACCCTCTTCCCCAAAAGCATGCCATAAAAGCCGGATCTGCAAGCAAAGATGGATAAACAATCATAACTAGCTGGATCTGCAAGCAAAGATGGATGAACAATGAGAACTAGCCGGATCTGCAAGCAAAGATGGAAGAACAATCAGAACTTTTCACCAGAGTTTATAGCTGATCAACGCTAAGAAGAAAAGTGTTGTTGCTAAAATGAATCATAACAGTTAGAATTTATCTTCTGATTGAATTTGTGCCGGGATCAGAGGTGCTGAACCAAACATGGGGGTACACCAAGACAAGGGGTCATGCTGGTGAACTGGGAAATGAGCAGGCAGATTGACTGCTGGTTCTGCACCACTTGGTGGTGAATTGATGTATGACAAGCAAGATGTTGTGAGGGCCCTTTGGGAGCTAGTGAACAGTGAGGAGGCACAGATAGATCATTACGGTCTTTTGACATGGCGCTGCGGGGAGTTAACAGGGATTCTGGCAGACACTTAACACTCGAGGGAAGAACGGGATGGATACAATCTGACAGTTACTGGTGCTGTCGAAATTGGAACTCTTCGCTTGCTGCTGAAGATGGGAATGGAGCACTTATGGGAGTGTTCAAAGTGCTATAATGTTTATTCTTTTTTCAACAATAATTCAACATTCTATTCAACATTCTTAATTCAATATTCAAGGATTCGTGTTAGTCAAGAACTATCCTCATCTCTCCGCGGCCATCTGGGAAACATGTTCCCAACCCCCGGTCTTGTCACCGTAGATAGGGTAAACTTTCCTTTCATGTCAGGGTGAATCTGCCCTTAAACCATGGAACCAACAGTCTGCACACACACACAAAATGAAAACCTAGAATGACATCAAGAAATAGACAGGACTGAGTTGCTATATACTTGTTCGACAAGCAGAAGACAGATTAAGATGGTTGGTTTTGTGTGTGATTGCTTCCATTGATACACCTCCACGACTCTCACCAACCGGCAGGAGTTTTGTGTGTGATTGCTTCCATTGATACACCTCCACGACTCTAACTGGTCAGGAGTTTTGTGTGTGATTGCTTCCATTGATACACCTCCACGACCCTAACCGGTCAGGAGTTTTGTGAGTGATTGCTTCCATTGATACACCTCCACACCCTAACCGGTCAGGAGTTTTGTGTGTGATTGCTTCCATTGATACACCTCCATGACTCTAACCGGTCAGGAGTTTTGTGAGTGATTGCTTCCATTGATACACCTCCACACCCTAACCGGTCAGGAGTTTTGTGAGTGATTGCTTCCATTGATACACCTCCACACCCTAACCGGTCAGGAGTTTTGTGAGTGATTGCTTCCATTGATACACCTCCATGACTCTAACCGGTCAGGAGTTTTGTGTGTGATTGCTTCCATTGATACACCTCCACAACGCTAACCGGTCAGGAGTTTTGTGTGTGATTGCTTCCATTGATACACCTCCACGACCCTAATAGGTCAGGGGTTATGTTGTGTTAAACAAATAAGCCAGATTTGTATAATGTTTGCATCTGGAACAAGATCAAAATGTAGACGTGGATGAACAACCAGGACTTTCAGTGGTGAACATGAAGAAGAAGAAAAATTCATGCCAGGGAAAAGTATTCATGAGGTTTTAAATATAATCATGAGTTCTCTGTTTGTTGCGGCCAGGTCTGTTCCGTGCTGCCGTCCCCAGCGGAGCATCCACTGGAATATATGAAGCTGTTGAGCTGAGGGATAACGCCAAGGAGTATATGGGGAAAGGTAAGTGTTCGAACCTAGTTTATTGATAACATAGGAACATTTCTATGTTAAAGCTTTTGTCATTTGAGAATAAAAAGCATTGCATATTTTTAAGCTTGATTTTATTGTGTATATGAGAACAGGCCCTTCACAAACCAACATCAAATGTGAGAAAAGCTCCTTCATAAACCATCATCAGATGTGAGAGAAGCTCCTTCATAAACCGCCATCAGTTGTGAGAGAAGCTCCTTCATAAACCATCATCAAATGTGAGAGAAGCTCCTTCATAAACCATCATCAGATGTGAGAGAAGCTCCTTCATAAACCGCCATCAGTTGTGAGAGAAGCTCCTTCATAAACCATCATCAAATGTGAGAGAAGCTCCTTCATAAACCATCATCAAATGTGTGAGAAGCTCCTTCATAAACCATCATCAAATGTGAGAGAAGCTCCTTTATAAACCATCATCAAATGTGAGAGAAGTACCTTCATAAACCATCATCAGATGTGAGAGAAGCTCCTTCATTAACCATCATCAGATGTGAAAGAAGCTCCTTCATTAACCATCATCAAATGTGAGAGAAGCTCCTTCATAAACATTCTGTGTAAGAAGAACCCTTCTCAGCAGTGTAAGGAAAGGAGCTTTGTCTTGTTCCTGTCCTTTTCCCCTCCCCATTGTCCCCTCTCTCTAGCAAAGTTTGTCTCTTCTACAGCTAGAGAGTAAAAATGAGTAGCAATCCTTGGCTTAGTCTGCTGGTCTGGACTTGATTCATACCAAACGGATTGAACAGGATTGAGAACTGGATTGTGAGCCCTGCATGATTTTTATAACGACAGGACAGGACGTGATATTCAACTTTTTTACCCTGGCAACGCTAAAGAAAAATGAACCATTACCCAATGGGATTTCTCAAAATAGTCCTTTCAAAACAACAGTTTAGCTCAAGTCACTAATACATTTAAAAAACATTTATTTATGTAGATTTATACCTTTTTCTCTCGATATATATATATATGAAATATAAAAAAGTAATCAGTAATCATGAACAGAGTGAAGCGTTAAACGGAAAACATTCTCTAGGGTCCAGAAAATATATGTTTCAGCTGACACATGCCATGGCACTGTGACCTCTAACACTGAGGCTTAAGGGACCAATTTGATAATCTGATGTCAACAGCTTTAAAAAACCTTATGGTTCGAAGAACCCCTTCCCACAATTTTTAGGTAATATATTCACATCCTCAACTCATATTTTTGCAGGCGTGAATACAGCCAATAGATTAACTATACGTCTCTCAAAAAGGTCACTATAGACAAGTTAAAAAAGTGTTGTTTTTGGTTCTTTTCCAAAGCTAGTGATTCTGCAATACCTTTTAAATATTTTATCTGTACAGGCAGCATTTAATGAATGTTTGCAGTTTATTAAGTACATTTTGTTGTTGTTGAAGTATGATATAAATATCCTTATGATCTGATGACTGTGTTTCAGGTGTTCTGAATGCCGTCAAAAATGTGAACACAGAAATTGCTGAAGCTCTAATCAAAGCTGTAAGTATGGCACTGGGTTTCTTAGAAACTGCCGACTTTTCAGTTTCTTTTGCTGCTTCTTTCTTCTTCTTCCTCATTTTCTTCTCTCTTTCTCTTTTTCTTCCATCTCCACATTTTCTTCCTCCTCTTCTTTTTCTTCTTCCTCCTTTTTTTTTTTCTTTTTCCTCTTTTTTCTTTCTCCTTTTTTCTTCTTCCTCCACTTTTCTTCCTTCATTGTCTCATTTTCTTCTTCCTCCTACTTTTCTTCTTCCTAATCCCCCTCTGCTTCATCTTCCATTTATTCTTCCTCCACTTCCCCCACCCCTCGCCCCATGTTTGTTTTTCTTCCTCTCCCTTTTGTGTTTTTGTGAATGTAACCCTAATAGTGTAAGGATGGACAGATTGATAACTCTTTCTTGTTTTAGTGGGTTGTGATGCATGGCGGCTTACAGTTGGTGAAGTGATTTGTCTGATTAACTCTGACAAGAATCAGCCTCTAGCCTGTTGAATAGTTCATGAACCTGTGGCGAGTTGGTGGAGTGATTTGTCTGATTAACTCTGACAAGAATCAGCCTCTAGCCTGTTGAATAGTTCATGAACCTATGGCGAGTTGGTGAAGTGATTTGTCTGATTAACTCTGACAAGAATCAGCCTCTAGCCTGTTGAATAGTTCATGAACCTGTGGCGCAGTCAGCTGAAGTATTAGCTAGGGAAAGGGATAACTCAGGTCAAACAGGTCACTTTACAGATTATCTTCCCCGTGTGGGTTCTGGGAATCCCATTGTGGGGGAAAACAAGAATAAACCCACTGCCTCACCAACAAGCATGTCAAAAGAGTCAACTGACTGGGGACTTCCTTTGAAGTCAGAGTGCATCTGCCTGAGAGGCAAAGAGCAATCAATCTGCATACAGGTAAGTCAGATCTGTAAAAGGGATGTGCACGCAACACTCAGCTTCTAGAACAAGACTAATGTGAACGAACAACCGGAACTTTCCTCTAGAGTTTATCCTCAGTGAACGCAGAGAAGAAGAAGATAGATCACCCGTACTACCTAAGAAACATTCCAGTCTGTATCCGCTCAGTTACCTATTATCTCCTCAGTGTGTAGATGTATAGTATTCTAATGAGGTCAAGGCCAAGGTTATATTCAAATTTTGTTGTTGTTCCAGCAACCCGACCTGACCAACCAGCGTGCCGTTGATGAGCTTATGATCAAGCTGGATGGCACCGAGAATAAAGGTATGTCTGCTACATCAGCCATCTTCCATCTCTTGGGCTCTTTGGTCATTTTACACTTGTGGAGCTTTTGAGGAGGGGATCAGAGCAGCTATGGATCTTCCTGAGGGCTGTGGTGATAATCCCCACTAATCAATACATCTCTTTATTATTCAACTACAGGGTCAGTCAGCTCCGAGATGGACACAGTACCAAGGGAGGTTATGGTACAGAGGGGAATATGGTACAGAGTTAGGGGACTTGGTACAGAGTTAGGGGACTTGGTACAGAGTTAGGGGACTTGGTACAGGGTTAGGGGACTTGGTACAGGGTTAGGGGACTTGGTACAGGGTTAGGGGACTTGGTACAGGGTTAGGGGACTTGGTACAGAGTTAGGGGACTTGGTACAGAGTTTGGGGACTTGGTACAGAGTTTGGGGACTTGGTACAGAGTTAGGGGACTTGGTACAGAGTTAGGGGACTTGGTACATGGTTAGGGGAATTGGTACAGAGTTAGGGGAAATGGTACAGAGTTAGGGGACTTGGTACAGAGTTAGGGGACTTGGTACAGGGTTAGGGGAATTGGTACAGGGTTAGGGGAATTGGTACAGGGTTAGGGGAATTGGTACAGGGTTAGGGGACTTGGTACAGAGTTAGGGGACTTGGTACAGGGTTAGGGGAATTGGTACAGGGTTAGGGGACTTGGTACAGAGTTAGGGGACTTGGTACAGGGTTAGGGGACTTGGTACAGGGTTAGGGGACTTGGTACAGAGTTAGGGGACTTGGTACAGAGTTAGGGGACTTGGTACAGGGTTAGGGGACTTGGTACAGGGTTAGGGGACTTGGTACAGGGTTAGGGGACTTGGTACAGAGTTAGGGGACTTGGTACAGAGTTAGGGGACTTGGTACAGGGTTAGGGGAAATGGTACAGAGTTAGGGGACTTGGTACAGGGTTAGGGGACTTGGTACAGGGTTAGGGGACTTGGTACAGGGTTAGGGGACTTGGTACAGGGTTAGGGGACTTGGTACAGGGTTAGGGGAATTGGTACAGAGTTAGGGGAATTGGTACAGAGGGGAATTGGTTCAGAGTTGAGATTTTTACAGGTGGGTGGTGATGGGAATGATGAAAATAGTAGTCGTCAAGGTTTCAATTTCACCACCCCTTATGGGTTCTGGGGCTCCACTTTGAAGAGAGGGTGGGGGAAGAATAGACCCACTGCCTCCCCTAACAAGCAAATCGACTCATCAGGAATGTTTCCTTTGATAGGCAAGGAACCAGGTCTGCATGCTCCCTGAGTGGGCTCCGGGGCCCCATTGTAGGGAAAACAAGAATAGACCCACTGCCTACCCAAATGTTACTTGTGGGCTATTATCACATTTAGTATTGATTGACCCAATTGTATGTGTTTGACAGGCAGACTGGGAGCTAATGCAATCCTTGGAGTGTCCATGGCCGTCTGCAGGGCCGCTGCTGCAGAAAAGGTAATTTTTGTGTGAATTCATGTGTGTTTCTGTGTGAATGTATACATGTTCATACGTGTGTGCATGCATTCATACGCATACATACTTTTGTGCTTGTGTGTTAGTGTCAATATGTATCTTCTTCTTCTTCCCTTTCATTGGCTGTAAACTGGCAAAAAATCCTGGCTACTCATTCACTTTTGGACCTGTTCCAAAACTTGAGTTTTTGTGTGCGCTGGCCAAATGTTTGAACGTTCGGCTCTCATGCGAGAGACCAGGGTTCGAATCCTAGGTATGGCTGGGGATTTTTTCTGTTGGGGACAAAATAAAATTCTCACCAGCACAGTCGTGGCGACAGCACTAGCCGTGCAGCCCTAAATCCTTATGCTCAATGATCCCCCCTGCCTGCACCGCAAAAGTGGTATATAAAGGCAGTAATTGGAGTTTTGGCAGTTGTGCTTCAGGTTTCAGAGCAATATAAAACAACTGATCCAATCAGCATTTTATATATTTCGATCTTGGTGTTAGCTCATTTTGGTTCGAGACCTTGCTAAAATGGTTGTGTTTGTTTCCGCCAGGGAGTGCCGCTGTACCGCCACATTGCTGACATTGCTGGTACCAAGCAGCTGTTTCTGCCGTGCCCTGCTTTCAACGTCATCAATGGGGGTAGCCATGCTGGCAACAAGCTGGCCATGCAGGAGTTTATGCTTCTACCAACAGGTGGGTGGTTGTTTGTGTCTGTCAGCTGGTTGTTTGTGTCTGTCAGCTGGTTGTTTGTGTCTGTCAACCTGTTGGGTGGTTGTCTGTGTCTGCCAGGTGGTGGTTTGTGTCTGTCAGCTGGTTGTTTGTGTCTGTCAGCTGGTTGTTTGTGTCTGTCAGCTGGTTGTTTGTGTCTGTCAACCTGTTGGGTGGTTGTCTGTGTCTGCCAGGTGGTGGTTTGTGTCTGTCAGCTGGTTGTTTGTGTCTGTCAGCTGGTTGTTTGTGTCTGTCAGCTGGTTGTTTGTGTCTGTCAACCTGTTGGGTGGTTGTCTGTGTCTGCCAGGTGGTGGTTTGTGTCTGTCAGCTGGTTGTTTATGTCTGTCAGCTGGTTGTTTGTGTCTGTCAACCTGTTGGGTGGTTGTCTGTGTCTGCCAGGTGGTTTTAGGTGTCTGTCAGCTGGTTGTCTGTGTCTGTCAGCTGGTTGTTTGTGTCTGTCGACCTGGTGGGTGGTTGTCTGTGTCTGCCGGGTGGTTGTCTGTGTCTGCCAGGTGGTGGTTTGTGTCTGTTAGATGGTTGTTTGTGTCTGTCAGCTTGTTGTTTGTGTCTTCTTCTTTTTCTTCTGCATTCATCCGAATATGTAATTGTGTTGTGTCCGTTTACAGCATGGCTGCAATATTTGCACCTTTCGGCCAACGCATTCCACTTTTGCGGGCATTTGTTGACCGGGTTAGCCTTCCCGGTGGTTGTTTGTGTCTGTCAGCTGGTTTTTTGTGTTTGTCAGCTGGATGTTTGTGTCTGTCAACCTGGTTAGTGCTTGTCTGTGTCTGCCTGGTGGTTGTTTATGTTTGTCAACCTAGTGGGTGGTTGTCTGTGTCTGACAGGTGGTAGTAGGTGTCTGTTATCTGGTTGTTTGTGTTTGTCAGCTGGTTGTTTGTGTATGTCGACCTGGTGGGTGGTTGTCTGTGTCTGCCGGGTGGTTGTTTGTGTTTGTCAACCTAGTGGGTGGTTGTGTCTGACAGGTGGTTGTAGGTGTCAGGTAGTTGTTTGTGTCTGTCAGCAAGTTGTTTGTGTCTGTCAGCTTGTTGTTTGTGTCTTCTTCTTCTTCTGCGTTCATCCGAAGATGTAATTGCGTTGTGTCCGTTTACAGTATGGCTGCAATATTTGCACCTTTTGGCCAACATATCCCACTTTTGCGGGCATTTGTTGACCGGTTTAGCCTTCCTGGTGGTTGTTTGTGTCTGTCAGCTGGTTATCTGTGTTTGTCAGCTGGTTGTTTGTGTTTGTCAGCTGGTTGTTTGTGTCTGTCAACCTAGTGGGTGGTTGTCTGTGTCTGCCAGGTGGTTGTTTGTGTCTGTCAGCTGGTTATCTGTGTTTGTCAGCTGGTTGTTTGTGTCTGTCAGCTGGTTGTTTGTGTCTGTCAACCTGGTGGGTGGTTGTCTGTGTCTGCCGGGTGGTTGTTTCTGTTTGTCAACCTATTGGGTGGTTGTCTGTGTCTGACAGGTGGTTTTAGGTGTCTGTCAGCTGGTTGTTGGTGTCTCTCAGCTAGTTGTTTGTGTCTGTCGACCTGGTGGGTGGTTGTCTGTGTCTGCCGGGTGGTTGTTTGTGTCTGTCAACCTCGTGGGTGGTTGTCTGTGTCTGCCGGGTGGTTGTTTGTGTCTGTCAACCTCGTGGGTGGTTGTCTGTGTCTGACAGGTGGTTGTAGGTGTCTGTCAGCTGGTTGTTGGTGTCTCTCAGCTGGTTGTTTGCGTCTGTCAACCTGGTGGGTGGTTGTTTATGCCAGCCAGGTGGTTGTCTGCCTGTCAGCTAGGCAGTTTTCTGTCAGCCAGGTGGTTGTCTGCCTGTCAAGTCCGGAAAGTCTCAATGTCTGTTAAAACAGATGCCTAATGTCACGTCTCTATGTTGCAGGCGCCAGTTCCTTCTCTGATGCCATGAGAATCGGCACCGAGGTCTATCACAACCTCAAGGCTGTCATCAAGAAGAAGTACGGCCAAGATGGTAAGACTCAATTTCTGAAATATTCTCTGAGTTGTTCATACATACTTTTTCCCAGTTCATTTTAAGATTGTCATTATCGCACATGACCATATGCTCCAATCTCCTGAGTATACAAGTGTTGTTAGGCTGACAGCTCCCATTCTGTTATGGTTATGTAACGTTGGGTGGCTCCTGCGTGGTTTTCTTGCTGCTCCACTCCATACACCCAGGGTAGGCCGTCTGTTCAGTGAAGAATCATTTCCCACAAATTTAAAAACCTCACTCCCATTGTGGCTTCCTGGACCCCATTGTGGGCAAATGAAGAATAGACCCACTACCTCCCCAGCAAGCATGTTATAAGAGTCAACTAAGTTGGTGGCATCCTTCAAAGTCAGTGTTTATCTGCCTTATAGGCAAAAAACCAACAGTCTGCATTAAAAAAAAAGTCAAGTCTGTAAAATGGATTTGGTCATCTAGTAAAAATGCAACCAGAGCAACTATCAAAGTAGGTGCTACACATTAAAAGATCTGAAGTGAAAGCAAGAGGTCGACCAAGGAGAATATGGATTGATGACATTACAGAGCTTCTACATTGACTTGAAATGACAAGCAGCCATTGCAACCCATCAAGCAGTGGATCGCAATTGTTCTTCTCCATGGCGCTGAACAACAGAAGTGAAAATTGATGATGATGTCTTATTTAAGCAAACTACTAATTAATCAACTTATACGATATGCTTGTTCAGGAGGGCAGAGACAGTTGGTCTGTTCTTCCCCTGGCACAAAATAGTGCCATAACGTCTATCTTCTTCTTCTGCCTTTCTGTTCCCCCAATGAAGCATAGGCCCTCAACCAACTCACACCAAGTCGTTCTATCCTTCGCCATTGCATGGAGCTCTCCCCATATCCTCCCCATCTTTCTAACTTCATTCTCCAGCTCTCTTCTCCATGTGTTTTTTTTTGGCCTTCCTTTATTCCTATGCCCTGTGGGTTCCAATGCAAAGACATTCTGGTTATGCTGTTCTCCTGTTTTCTCAGTGTGTGTCCAATCCAGTGCCAGCGTCTTTTTCTCACCTCTTGTTCCACTGGGGCCTGTTTAGTTCTCTCCCAAAGCTCTACATTAGTTATATAGCGTCTATACCAGGATATGTGTAAATATCTTCCTGTTTGGATTCCAGGGCTCTGTTGTAGAGAAAATAAGAAAAGACCCACTACCGCCAGAACAAGCATGTTGTGAGAGTTGACTAATTTAGAGCTTCCTTCCAGGTCGGAGTACATCTGCCTGAGAGGCAAAGAACCAACAGTCTGCATGCAAATGAGACAGTCCGGTGAAATGGATGTGTGTGCAACTCTCAGTTTCTGGAACAGGACTAGAGTCCAGAAGTGGATGAACAACCAGAACTTTCCGCCAGAGTTTTACAGCTGGTGGACACGAAGAAGAAGATTATTTATAAATTTGTGTTCATGGCAAACCCTGTTTGAGTACATTTTGTTCATGGCAAACCCTGTTTGAGTATGTTTTGTTCATGGCAAAACCTGTGTTCATGACAAACCATGTTTGAGTACGTTTTGGTCACGACAAACCATGTTTATGTTTTGTTCATGGCAAACCCTGTTTGAGTACATTTTGTTCATGGCAAACCCTGTTTGAGTACATTTTGTTTATGGCAAACCCTGTTTGAGTACGCTTTGTTCATTGTGATGTTTTCTTGATAAACCTTTTATAGTTTTTAGTAACAGGTTTCTAAAAGTCTGTGTTTTGTTTTTGCAGCCTGCAACGTTGGTGATGAGGGCGGCTTTGCTCCCAATATCCAGGAGAACCAAGAAGGTAACAGCTATTGTTGGTTTTGTCCTGTAACTTTTGTTGTCAGTTTCCTGAGAGGTTTGTTCATTTTTTTTTTCCAGCACTTATCAATTGTTTGCTGTGTTCTTGGTGCCTTAGTATCAGATTGACAGAGCATGCAGAGGAAGGTGGAGTCAGGTGTTTCTTTAAAATGGAATGGGTTACATCAATCCAGAGGTTGCAGGTGGGGAGAGTCCCATGGGTATTTTGGCTTGGATTATTCAGGTGTGTTTGGGAATGAGCAGGCAGATAGGTTGGCTGGACTGGCCCCCCCCCCCCTACTTTGGAGTGTACTGCCACTGCACAAGGCAGATGTGATCTCTCACCTGTGTGATGAGGTCACAAGTAAAAGGGAATGTAGTGAAAACCCACACCCTGGAGAGCATGATGCAATGGGGAAGTGGCTATGGGATCTGGGTGCCACTTGAGACTGGGGGGGGGGGGGGGGAGACAAGACGAAAAGTTAACCAGATGACAATGACTACCATCAGTGAGGAGACTTTTTGCTGGCTCTTGAGGAGGGAGACAAACCTAGTGTAGGCTTGTCCTGGTTTCTGTGTTGTGAAATCTTTGCTTAGATGGTGTCATTAGTTTGTTTAGTACATGTTATGTGTGCTTGTGGCAGGTAGCACAGATGATCGATCCTATGTTGTGTCAACAAAAAGATCATGTGGTTAATCTTAGACTTCCCTGATGAGATGTACAGTAAAATAAAATTGTTCTATTGTTTGTTAACTCTTGCCAGGCTTGGAACTGATTAAGGAAGCCATTGAGAAGGCTGGCTACACGGGTAAGGTGGAGATTGGCATGGACGTGGCAGCTTCAGAGTTCTACAAGGAGGGCAAATATGACCTGGACTTCAAGAACAAGGACTCTGATCCTTCCAAATGGGTACGATATTATTGTTGCAGATCTTGAGTGTTGTCAGTCGTTAGCTATTCCTCTGCAGTAGGTTGTCTTCTTCTTTTTCTTCTCCTTTTTTTCCTTTCTAGTGTAATTTGCATGTATGAACATGTGAATGCTTTTTGTGACCAAACAAATGAACGAATGAACTTCAAAGTGTCTCAAATTAGGCACTCAGGCCCGTCTTAACATTTGGCCTTTCCAAACACCCATCTTTCACACAGCAGTTGTATTTTCTCAATAAAGCATGTTATGTTTATGTAGTAATGTGATATGCATTTTATGAATATGAAGCAAAAACAAAGCATGTAGTGGTAAAATGAATGCCCACACTCGCACCCACATACACATGCAAACCCATTCACTCACAAACACACATAGGCACCCAATACACACATATATATGAAAGACTGGAATCCACACACATACATGCATAAACATACATCTATACAGACACACACATACATAAATGCAGCTGCACAAAAAGACACACCCACCCACACACTCACTCACACGCACACACGCAGGCAGAGACACACACGCACAGGGACATACGTAACACTCACACATACCCAGGCACACATACGCACACAGACATACACACAAAGAAATGAAATTAGGAATGAGGTCATAACAGAAAAAGTCGGTACAGGTCTGATTCCCAAACATATCTCAGGATAGCAAATCGATGGCTTGCTCATGTAGAGAGAATACCTTGTGACGCCCATACCACACAATGCATACACCAGAGGTGGAGAAGGACAAAGAGCATGAGGTAGACCAAGAACAAGATGGAAAGATAACATCAGAGAAACTCAGCTAAGTGAGAGAGGTCACAGGGTTAGAACTTAAGTCACCCTATACATTGTTAGGACACCGGGAATCTGTTCCATTTAATGCTTTAATTTTTAATTGCCTCTTTAAAAATCTTTGTATTTCAACACATAAATTTACAAATGTGTATGAATTGAAAAAAACTCAAATAAATTTGTTAATTTTATTAGTGATGTGGGTTGTTTTTGTTTTTTAAAAGGATTTTTTCTAAAATTCCTATTCTGTTTTTAGCACTGGCGAGTAAAAGGGTTACATATTTAGTGGTGTCACATGCTTATTTCTCTCTCTCTATTTTTTGCCGCTGCAGCTGACCTCTGACCAGCTGGCTGATATGTACAAAGGGTTTGTGCAGAAGTATCCAGTGGTCAGCATTGAGGATCCCTTTGACCAGGATGACTGGGAGGCCTACGTGAAACTGACCAGCGGTCTCCCCATTCAGCTTGTCGGGTAAGTGATTAGTGAGGATGATTTTGTTCCAGAACTTGAGGTTTGCATGTGCGTCCATTTTTACAGATCAGGATTGTTTATGTGCAGACTGTTGGTTCTTCGCCTCTCAGACAGATGCATGCACTTTGACTTTGAATGAAACATCCCAATAACTCAACATTTACATGTTTGTTGGTTGAGGAGAGGGGGGGGGGGGGGGTGATCTATTACAACCCCCTCCAACCAATAGGGCTCAGAACACACTCAGGGAGAACTAAGGAATGAAAGAATTGATATCACTGCCCTGCATGTGGTTCCGGGGCCCCATTGTGGGGAAAACAAGAATAGACCCACTGCCTCCCCAAAAGCATGTCGTAAGAGTCGACTAATTGAGGAGCTTCCTTTAAAGTCGGAGTGCATCTGCCAGAGAGGCAAGGAACCAACAGTCTGTATTCAAGAGAATGAGATCTGTAAAACTGATGCACACGCAACACTCAGGTTCTGGAGCAGGACTGCAGTTCAGTAATAGACGAGCAACCAAAACTTTCCGCCAGAGTTACAGCTGGTGAGCGCGAAGAAGAAGAAAAAGATATCCCTGCTCCTCATTTGGGTTTTGGGGTCACGATTTGGGGGGGGGGGGGGGGGGGAGTGGAGTTGGGAGAATAGACATACTACTGCTTAATAAGCACGTTGTAAAAAGTGATTAGTTAACAGTTTGTAGAAAGCTGATGTGTTAGGCTTAAAAGTTACAGATATTGCAGGCAGCCTAGCTTTAAACCACAACACAGTTTGAATAGCTGGCACCTTTCCGTCTTTCCAAACATATTGTGCTCTGAGCAGGCTGGGATCACACCCCATGGTGATGGTGAGTGTGACTAGCAAGACCCGCCCATCTGAAGAAAAGTCTTCCACAAATCAGGCACGGGATTTCAGGACCGTTATCAACATTTGTGTATTGTCTTGTTTCTTCTTAGACGCTCAGCTGTCATTTCTTCTTTCATTGTCATTCCCTTTCTGTTGTGCCCCCTCCTCACAACACAATCCATGGCATTTGTTTCCACAAGTCCACATCAGTACCTCTATGTCCCGCTTGCACACAAGCACAGTTTACCAACTGCCTTTGTAAGGAATCACTTGGAAGAACAATGGGAGAAAGTAATTCACTTCAGAAGAAGTAGATCCTTTTAAAAACTCAAGTTAAGAGGAAGTGCACAAGGAAGTTTCAAGATGGCATTGAGCACTTTTGAAACTGAGTGCACGTGTACTTGAAACAGTCCGTTATAACAGTGGTGCTCAACCTTCCTAAAGCCGCGGCGACCATTAAGTGCAGTTCCTCGTGTTGTGATGACCCCCAACCATAAAATTGTTTTCATTGCTCCTTCATAACTTCAGTGAATATGTGTTTTCAGATCGTGTTAGGCGCCCCCTGTGAAATGCTAGTTGGACCCCTTTCCCCCCCCCCCCCCCCCCCCAAGGGGTCGCAATCCACAGGTTGAGAACCTCTGTGATATACTAACATTTGTTCTCAGTTCAATTATAAATAAAATATTTGTTTCAACTATAAAACAGAAAGCCAGGGACATTTTTGTTGTCGTGAGCAGTTTGTACGTCTGCTGTAAACAAACATTACATAACGGGACGAGGCCCCCCCCCCCCCCCCCCCTTCCAATCTCCATGATCCCCCTGCCCCGCCCTTCATTCCAGGTTGGAGACCACTGGTTTAGAGACTAGAATAAGATTTTACAATTTTTTTTTTTAATGAGAAATGTTTCGTAGTATAGAATGCATTGACAGTGATAGTTGACTTGATAAATGATGGGTGTGTATGAGATGAACCTGATTTGTTGGCAGGGATGACCTGTTGGTGACCAACCCCAAGAGAGTACAGAAGGGAATTGATATGAAGGCCTGCAACGCCTTGCTGCTGAAGGTCAACCAGATTGGAACTGTCATCGAATCTATTGACGCGTAAGTTTCTCTGTGAATCTGTTAATGTCACCGAGGCTATCGATGCGTAAGTTTCTCTCTGTGGATCTATAGTCTTCTTCTTCTTCTTCGCGTTCACCAGCTGTACACTCTGGCGGAAAGTTCTGGTTGCTCGTCCACTACTGAACTGCAGTCCTGCTCCAGAACCTAAGTGTTGCATGCGCATCAGTTTTACAGATCTCATTCTCTTGAATACAGACTGTTGGTTCCTTGCCTCTCCGGCAGATGCACTCCGACTTCAAAGGAAGCTCCCCAATTAGTCGACTCTTACGACATGCTTTTGGGGAGGCAGTGGGTCTATTCTTGTTTTCCCCACAATGGGGCCCCAGAACCCACGGGGGGGGGGGGGGGGGGGGGGGGGGGGGGGGGGGAATCTATGGTAATGTCAGAAGTTGAGTTGAGTAAGGAATCGATGTTGCATCCCAGTCTTCAGCAGTTAGATCAGAGTTCTGATTTTGATTGGGCCAGTAGCTGTTTGATTGGCATTGCGCTGTTGGAGTGTCTGTGGATTGCCTACGTCCGTGGGTAGCAGTCAGTTTTACCAGAAATAGGGATTGTGTTTCTGCCTTCCTCTGTGACACTTGCCTAAAGCGGAGCTCACAGTGTGCTCAGTTCCCGCCACTGTAGGAAAGGCAAGATGGACATTTAACCAGATTACGACTGGTACCATTAGTATTGGAACTCTGCGCTGGCTGTTAAAGATGAGCGAGCATTGGAATGCCCCAAGTGCTGTGATGTCAGTTAACTCAGCTCAGCTCAACTCCCCGCCAGCAGGTTGACTTCTGGTTTCGCCAAGTTCTCCTGGGCTCTAAGCATGAGTAGTTGGAGCAACGGAATTGCCACATCCTGAGTTCCTGTGCCTTCACGATAGTTTCCGGTATTCTAATGACATTAGAATTGAAACTATCTGACCTGGTTTTAATACTATACAGTTCCATATTTTATTGAAGCTTTTAAAAGCTGCTGTTGGCTTGTGTATCAATGTCTGTCTTTGTTTTTTCATAGCAGTCAAAATTGCTGCCCCAAAATGTCAGCTAATCCTTTTTTGTCTCCGACTTCTTGATCTGTTATTGTCTTTAATATATGTATCTTTGTCATAAATGATTCGTAGATACATCAGTAAATAAAAATCCTGTCCTGATTTTTGGAAGTGATTCATGGACAGTTGGTAAAATATTATTTGAAAGTGGCAGAAACATTTATAGACTAATGACGAGAACACTGGGCAGATAAAAAAAAAAAAGTAATGAAGATGTCTTGAAAGAAACTGACTCCCAAAGAGAACTGATTGCCCACATCAGAAGGAGACAATCTACATTCTTATAGCATGTCATGAGAAGGAGAAAACTGGAGTACACCATGGCAGTGGAAAAGTTGGAGGGGAGGAGAGGTAGAGACAGAAAATTCTGGACATTCTGACATGGAAGATTATCTGGGTCAGAGTTGATTGAAACTATGAGAGATAGAAGGTTCTTGAAAGACATGACTACCAGCGCCACACGGCATGGACTATAAGAAGAACTGATTTGTAATCCGACTTTTGATGCTGTGTGTCTAAATCATCTTTTCTTCTACAGACAGACATAACCCAGATTTTAATGTCCTGACAGAAATCCCTGACACTAACACGATTGCCCGACATGAGAGTAAAGCATGGTGAAGCACGTCTATGCCGTCTTCAAGGCTGAGATAAGAGACAGTATAACCAGCTTCTCATGGGAACAATTAGTAGAAGTACCTTGGAGTGGCTTCCGCATCGGAGGACGGAGCACGCATGGGAAAGCCCAATGTGCAGTGACGTTGATTGTGATAATGTAACATACATAACATAATTTGATGGCTGTGTTTCAGCTGCAAGATGTCGCAGGCGGCAGGCTGGGGCGTGATGGTCTCTCACAGAAGTGGAGAAACTGAGGACACATTCATCGCTGACCTTGTGGTGGGGCTAGCCACCGGCCAGGTAATTTCTCCTTTTGTTTCTTCTATCACTGGCCAGTTCTCAGGGTTTGATCTGAGCCCCATGGGTGTGGGGGATGGGGGGTAGACCCACTAACAAGTATGTCATACGGGGCGACTAGGGGGGTTTCTTTCAAAATCAGAGTGCACCTGTCTGAGAGATAAGAAACAAACAGTCTGCATACAAGTAAACCTGATCTGTGAAACGGATGTGCATACAAAACTTAAGTTCTGGAACAAGACTTGAAATGCAGAAATGGATAACAAACAGAACATTCCTCCTGAGTCTAGAGCTGATGAATGCTAAGAAGAGGAGGAGGGCAGGCCAGTCGGGCTCACAGTCTGTGTAACTAGAACAAACAACAACAAAAGCGAGGGAAAATATTGGGTAATTGGCAAGCAACAGCAAAGGCTAGGATGCTAGTTAAGGGCCTATGGGGTAAACTACAGAAAAAGATGCATGGCCACGTTGAAGTGGTAGAGAAGCTTGTGTGTTGTGCTGACTAGATGCCCAAACTAAACTTTTGTGTGTTGCGCTGACTAGATGCCCAAACTAAACTTTTGTGTGTTGCGCTGACTAGATGCCCAAACTAAACTTTTGTGTGTTGCGCTGACTAGATGCCCAAACTAAACTTTTGTGTGTTGCGCTGACTAGATGCCCAAACTAAACTTTTGTGTGTGTGTAAAGCTCTTGTTTAATTGTAGATAAAAAAAAATTACCTAATAATATACCTCGACCCTCTCTGAAGCTATTTTTAGTCAATATAACCATACCAGATACTTCTAAACACTGGGTAGGTGCAAACAGAACCAATGCGGTTAACTAGGCTTGTCTCAGGTACAGGCCAGGCCAATGCAGAGTGTTGGTTTTGCAGCGGTTACGAGGATTTGTAACAGGCGGTGATGCTGGAATAGCGGCCTCACAGGCAAAAGGGTTCATTTATATTTTCTTCTTTTTTGCCTTTACTGGCGGAAGGTTCTGATTGTTAGTCCACTTCTGGACTCTAGTCCTGTTCCAGAACCTAATTTTTAAGGTTACATCCGTCTCACAGGTCTGACTCACTTGCATGCAGACTGTTGGTTCTTTGCCTCTCAGGCTCATATACTTCGACTTTAAAGAAAGCTCCCAATTAGACGACTTGTAGGACATGCTTTTGGGCAGGCAGTGGATCTACTCTTATTTTCCCCACAATTGGGCTGCGGAACCCACACAGTGAATTAATATTTTGACTTGAGCTGCCGGTATCCACTGCAGAATGACAGTCCTTGTTATGATTATTTTGCCATATTTTTGTTTGACTTCTGAAACCACATAAACAGTTGTCTTCTGAAACACAGATCAAGACTGGAGCCCCATGCAGATCCGAGCGCCTGGCGAAATACAATCAGCTCTTGAGGATCGAGGAGGAGCTGGGAGCGGCTGCCAAGTTTGCAGGGAAGAACTTCAAGAAGCCCCAGTGATTGCCTAGAATATAGACAATCGTTTAACTGTAGCAGATAATGTCATATATTCTTTCTCATGTGTTTTATTGTTTTCTACTTGGTATAGATTGTAGCTTTTAGTCGGGAAGTAGCTCATTCTGGGATGAGGGGTATTGTAAATAGAGATAGGCAGCAGATGAGAAAAGGGACATATACAAACGGAGGGAAAAACCATACTAGAGGGAAGAAAAGTTTGCAGTTCTTCTTCTTTTCATATTGACTGGCTGTAAACTCTAGCCGAAAGTTCTGGTTGTTGATCTGCTTTTGAAAAGGAAACACCCCTAATTAGTAGCCTTTTATGGCATGCTTGTTAGGGGACAGTGAGGCTTCCCCCCCCCCCCCCCCCCCCCTCACTTTCCACAACGGGGCCCTGGAACCCACACAGAGACAGAGAAAAGGCAAATGCAAGTTTAGAAACTTGTAAAGCCTAATACCAAGCTATGATGTTACTAATTGTCAAGAAATTGTCACGTTTAATGTCACTCTAATAAAGTTTGTCCAACATTGGTGAAGTGGTCTTACTGTCACTTGTAGAGAATCATCTGATATAGGGAGGGGTTGGTTACCATTTGCGCACACATCCTCACATGATTGTTGTAAAATAATAGTTGTTACTATACATTATCATTGTAAAGTATGATATTTGGTAACAGACAACAGATACATCACTCACCAGAGAAAAAACTGAGTGTGTACAAATCCCTTTTCTTTTTCATGGGATGGAGGGCGGATGTCACTACCTACATTGATAAATGCTGTTAGAGATAGCATTATGTGGGTCACCACTGTACTGGATATATTTACTGACTGTTCAACACACATACTATAGTTTCCTGTCTATGACATGAACCATGTAGCCCATAGTTTCCTGTCTATGAAGGAAATTATACATATTTATACATAGCATTCACACCATACTTTCCAGTCTGTGAAGGGAACCTATATAGACCATAGTTTCCTATCTTTAAAGGAAACCATGTAGACCATAGTTTTCTGTCTATGAAGGAATCAATATAGATTATAGTCTCCTGTCTATGAAGGAATCAATATAGATTATAGTCTCCTGTCTATGAAGGAATCAATATAGATTATAGTCTCCTGTCTATGAAGGAATCAATATAGATTATAGTCTCCTGTCTATGAAGGAATCAATATAGATTATAGTCTCCTGTCTATGAAGGAATCAATATAGATTATAGTCTCCTGTCTATGAAGGAATCAATATAGATTATAGTCTCCTGTCTATGAAGGAATCAATATAGATTATAGTCTCCTGTCTATGAAGGAATCAATATAGATTATAGTCTCCTGTCTATGAAGGTAACCATATATATATATAGCGTATAGACCATAGTTTCCAGTTTGTGTTGGGAACCAAATAGACCATAGTTTCCTGTATATGAAGAGAACCGTAGAAAGGCTTTTCTAGGCTCTAGACTGACAGCTTATTGATTTCAGAATCTACATCAAAGCACACCAGGCATACCCATAGGTGCTCTGTCTCCAGCAGCAAATGTCTTCAGGTGTAGATGCTAACTGTTCCCGTCACACACTGATTATGAACGTGTCGTTCTGTTTCTTTCATACATTCATCAGCATTTGTTCACAACAGGTCTTCAGAATGTCTTCTTAGTCCAGTACAGTGTTCATGTAGCTATCACATTTGTAGCCAGGAAATCTGCTCTTTCATTCCCTCGCACTCCTGCATGTGCCAATCAGTAAATTCACATGAGTCCCTGCAATGTAGACCTATTGATGCCTGGTATTAAATTTTTGTGTCTTTGCACTTGAGTTAAACCGTTTTGTCCCATATGTTTCGCTGCGGATAAATAACGGCCAAGGATGTAGGACTTTTAAACTGAGTAAGAACCACAGTAACTGGTCTGATCTGACCAAATGTTAAAAGTAGGAACGCATGATGTAATGGGCATTAGCAGGGGGGGAAGTTGTTTTTGCTGTTGTTGGTTAATTAGTCTGTCGTTTACTGCTTGTCCTTTTGTGTGTCATATTCTAAGATGTTTTTTATATCCCTGCTGTACCTTTTGCTTTGTTGCATGCCTCCAGGTCCTGACTTTTGTCAGAATTCAGCCCAAACTTCAGAATGTTGGCTGTTCGTACATCCCAAGGTTAAAGGAAACTTAAGGTGGCGACAAGAGAGGACAGTTTGTGTATATAAGAGACATCAATCATTAGGGTACTATTGTGTAATTGATGTAGAATGTCCTTAAACTGGAAGCCACAGGGTCAAGGGAATAAAGGCAGACCAAAATAATTGAGAAGGGAGTTAGAGAGAACAGAAAAAAGATGGATAGTACATGTGGTTAGATACCCTTGTTAAGGGACATCATGGCATGAATTGGTTGAGGGCCTATGCTCCATTGGGAGACAAAGAGCAGAAGACAAATTGTGATGTATCTTTCTCCAAATTGAAAAAAAAAAAAATAAACAGCCTATTTGCTATGTTTTTTACTCTTGAATAGTAAAGTTTATTTAATTTGTACTTGTGTGCTTTTCTCCAGTGCTCACGTTGTCACAGATTCTGTTGTATCTTTGGTCTCTTTTAATCACCACCTTTTTGTTTCTGTAGATCTGATGCTGTGTTTGCCCTTATAAGGGCAGTCAGCGTGTGTAGTGGTAATTCCTCAGTTATATGATCACTGAGTTCACCATATACAGTCGAGTCTGCAGAAGCAGAAGTGGCAGGAACCTAAGAAAATGCTTCCACTTATCAGGAATTCTACTTATCCAGACAGCACACACAATCGAGAAAATTGCCGGGACTAAGCTAGTCATGTCGACTTAAGCGAAATTCGACTTAAGTTGACTTGACTGTATGTCGATTCCTTTCTGCTAAAAAAAAAAGGGGGTGCTTGACATTAAATTTCTGCGGACAGCTTTTATCAAGTTGCTTTCTAGACAGTTTGCGGTCTTCTGCTGAAAAGATTCTGTCTTTCCGGATAGTTTGCAGCACAGTCAAAACATTTTAAGGCAGCAGGGTCCCGATCTGACATAGCACAACCACATTACCCGCTGCTCGCATGGAAACACACAGTATCCTGTTGGAGATGTACACAAAATAGCAGTCCGCGATAATGGAACAGAACAGACAGAGAGAATTCAGACATTTAAAAAAAAAGCCACTTGTCGCCAATTTGAAAAGGGAAGTCTCTTGATTATGTTAATGATGTAACTAACATAACATAACCCTTTACCCGTTAGGGTCGTGGAGGTGTTCTATTTGCACTAGCACATAAAACTGGCCATCTTTCTCTGTCTTCTGCTTGATGAATAAGTGTAAGATAACTTTGTCCTGCCCATTTCTTGTTGTTGTCTTATAGGTTCTTCTTTGCCCTCCTCTTCTTCGACTACCCCCTAATGTTCTTTGAAGTACAGTTTTTGCAATTGAATCATGTCTCACCAGGTGCCCAAACCAAGCTAGCTTGAGATGTCTTAACCACTACCAAGAGTGGCTCCTCCCACAAAATTTGAATATTTTGTCTCCGACATATTTATTAGTTTTGTCTTCTAAATAATTCGTAAAATGCGTCTGTAGCATTTACATTCGAAAGCCTGAATCCTCCTTTCCATTTCCACAGAGAGAGTCCAACTCTCACATCTGTATAAGAAAATAGACAACACCAGTGATTTGTAAGTATTGACCTTGACAGCGATGTTGATTTTGCTCTTTCACATCAGTGATGTTAACATCACCTGTGAGATGTTATGTCTGAAGAAATCTGCGAATTGAATCAACAGAGACCAAGTGAGAAATCCTGAGACTCACTGAGAGTTACATCTTGCATTAAATTTACTGAAAAACTGAACATCAAATGGCTGTCTCGTTAGAATGCAGACACAACTACCAACACACATGCTACAAGTAAGAACTTCTTCTTCTGCGTTCATCTGAAGATGTAATTGCAATGTGTCCGTTTACAGCATGGCTGTGATATTTGCACCTTTCGGCGAACACATCCGACTTCTGTGGGCATTTGTTGAGCGGGTTAGAACATCTAATATGAGGCAAAATGTAGCCAAGGAAAATATGGATTGACGACATTAAAGACATTCTTCTTCTTTGTCATGTTCACTGGCTGTTAACTCTGGGGGGAAATTTCTGGTATTCATCCACCTCCAGAGTCTTGTTCTAGTGTTTCATGCATATCCATTTTTCAGATCAGGCTTTTGTGTATGCAGACTCGATTCTGTGCCTCTCAGGCGGATGTACTTTGAAAGATCCCCCCCCCCCCCTCCCCATTAGTCGACTTCTAAGACATGCTTGTTGGGGAGGCAGTGGGTCTATTCTTGTTTGCTCCACAATATGACCCCGGAACCCACATGAGGCAAAGACATTCCACATCATGCAGACTGACAGTAGCCAGTGCTAGCCTTCAAGCAGTTGACCACCAGTTGTTCTCCCCCTCGAGGCTTTACGGCAAAAGTAGAAACTGATGATATTTACTTTATCCTGTTTGAACTGGTGGTGTGTTGTGTCGATAAAATTACACATAATTATTCTGTACTATAGTCCGTTCCATGTGTCGTGCCCAACTTTAAAAATCTGTAACTCAGTAACTGCCCAGTGGAAATTGTTGAAATTTGGCGTGCAATCTGCTAATAATCATATCCTCGTAGGAAAGTAATTATATTGCAAACAAACGCCTTGTTTATATTTTCCCTTATTTGTGGTAAATGAGAAAACAGACAGATTCAAAGCTTACAATTAGCATGTTTACGGTAAATGGATTGATGTAAAGTTGGCACAAAATATCAGATTGCATGCATTTAGGAGGTAATCTGTGCGATATTTTTAATAGTAGAATGTATGTCTTGAACTACCATATGTTTGGTGACTGGCTCATAAAAAGTACGATTTTTTAGTCCGACAAAGATCAAAAAAATTGGCTGTTGTAAGAAAACAAACAGCAATTATAAATTACTAAATCATAAGGACGTGGAAAATCTACAAAAAATGTGTTGATCCGTTTTTGAGTTTTCAAGATATTTGTTAAAGTCTGAGGGCTCAACTTTTGGAAAGGACTATAGTTTGATTCTCTTGTGTAACCACAAATTGTCAATGATCCTGTCTTTGTAGTCACCTGCATGATTTTCTATGGCTGTACTTTAATACATGGAATTTGACATTTACTGACTTTGGCTTTGTACATGGCTTCGTGCAGGCAAAGGTCAATGGCTCAAGGGTATGAACTGTTTCAAGATGACATACCAGAGCTGCAGACAGCTTGTCAGTAGAACACTTTGCATTGATTTAAACAATGGTATGAGCAGTGAATTTTTCAGAAAGCAATGGCAAACTACTGATTGCCTTACAGAACTAAAAACAAATGCCGGGGTTGGTCTTATAAAAACAAATAAAAACAATAATACAAGATCCCGATGTGGGTTCCATGGCCCAACTAGGGGGAGGAAATATTTTTTTTGGTTCACCTGAGTTTTGCATTCACATATGTGTTACAGATAGGAATTGTTTGTATGCAGACTGTTGGATCCTTGCCTATCAGGCAGAGACAGTCTGACTTTGAAGAAAACACCCCTAAATAGGTGCCTCTTACGACATGCTTATTAGGGGCGGAGTGAGCAAAGTCCACAAGTGGACAAACAACCAGGACTTTCTGTTAGAGTTCACAGCCGGTAAACACCAAGAAGAAGTCACAAAGACAAAGCTCAGATCACAACTGTCACAGTTTTATTACACAACATGTCAAATATTCCAACAAACAAACTGTTGTTACAGCTTGCATTTACCAGCTGTTGGTCTTGAGGCCACACGACTAGTGCTGCTGACACAAACACTGCAGGACAGGGTTTGAGATTCTTTGATAATATCATACCCCAGATGATGTCATAGGACAGTCTAACATTTTAGAGAGTGATAAGACTGGTTTTTCCTGCTTTCTGATGCTTTTTACGACCCCAAAACATCTAGAACTGGCCCTAACCCTAACCCACCTACATCCCACGATAGAATGCAGCCTAGGTCCCATGACTACATGCAGCCAATCATCCCCTTAAATATAAGTCTGTCCCATGACCTGTGGATTACCCGTCTGGGGTAGGATATTAAGAAAGCACTGGGTTTGATTTCTGCCCTTGACCGAAAAATTTTTCCAGCATCTTAGCGAGGAATCAAACCTGAGTCTCCCGGATTGAAGACCTAGAATTCAGTCTGCCCATCTTGCAATAAACAATATCCCAAAGACAAAACAACTTTCTCAGCAGCAACCGAATCACATAATCAGTTTGGTTTTAATGAATCACTCTTCCAAGGAGATCCCTATAAATGTTGCCGAGAGATCACAATTTCTGGGTCGCGGTGTCGATTACAACCGCCCGGCCACCGGTTTTGTAGGTGCCAGAAAATGAAACTAACCATCGAGGTCTCGGTGTAACCGCCGAAGTTTCTCCTTCTTGTTTTTGTTGTTATGTTTCTTCCAAGGTTTGCTGGACAAGGTGCTAATGGAGGCTGTGCTGCCAAGGGGCTCAGTGCCGGGTGCTGACGACTGGGAGGTTCTCATGTTAGAAGGAAGAGAACTGGCACCCACAACCTCTGACAATCCTCCACTGCCCCTGTAATGGATCTTGCTTTGTTTCTGTGAAAAAAATAACAGTAAAATGCAATCGTTGGGAAAGTTAAAGCAGCGTCTAAAGATACAAACTTTAAAACAGTACTGTTGTATGGAGCAGAAATATGGAGAACAATAAACTATTAACATTCATTAACTGGCACCTGTGAGGAATAGAGGGAATTAAATAGGGTGAGAGAATCACTATATTGAGCTCTGGGTGAGAACTAAACAAATTCCAGTGAATCAAGAGGTGAAGAAAAGATGCTGGTGTTGAACAGGACGCATGTTGAAAACAAAAAATCTGAGCACAATGGCACCTCAGAATACAAACATAATCTATTCCGACCCGGTGATCAAATTGCAAATCATTCGATTCCAAGGCAGTTTACCCCACTAAAAATAACAGACATAAAATAAAATTAATATGTTCCAAGTTCTCAAATGAAACTCAAGCAAAAGTTTTGGCTACCGCTCCTATTTTCACAATTGCTGTTTTTACAGCTCATTCTATTCCCACAACTGTTTTACAGCACCTGTTATTTCCACAACTGTTCTTTCTTAAACTACTGCTTTTTAAGCCTCTGTCCTATTTCCACATTTGCTGCTCTATTTCCACAACTGTTGCTATTTTATCTACTGTCCTATCAGAACTGATCCTATGCCACCATCAACGCTGAAACCAACAATATCAATAAACAACTAACAAAATACCAACACCAACAACAGGCACAACATCCTACCTGGGAGAAGAACTCTGTGTCAATGCTACTTCTGTTTTGTGGTGGAGCCTTGAAACAGACAAATGTGAGAAGCTTACAGTAACATTCATGATATTTTTCCATGTATTAGAGGCCCTCATGTATACGGTGACCCCTTTTTCTTAAAGCCAAAAATTGCAAAATAAATATTTTAAATATATTCTGTATATAAGACTCCAATATTAAACTTAAAATATTTTAGGAAACATATCATCTTAAACATAGTAAAATACATTATCTTTTCTTATTGTATCTTCTCTCAGATGACAAGTTGAATCATGGAGCTTATGCAACAATAGGAAACGGTCTGTTCATATCTTGTGTCTTTTGGACTGTGGTGGGAGAGTAGACAGTGGTAGAAAAGTGGACAGTGGTTAAGAGAGTGGACAGTAGTAGGAGAGTGGACAGTGATAGGAGAGTAGACAGTGGCAGGCGAGTAGACAGTGGCAGGCGAGTAGACAGTAGCAGGAGAGTAAACATAGGCAGGAGAGTAGACAGTGGCAGGAGAGTAGACAGTGGCAGGAGAGTAGACAGTGGCAGGAGAGGGGACAGTGGCAGGAGAGGGGACAGTGGCAGGAGAGTGGACAGTGGCAGGAGAGTAGACAGTGGCAGGAGAGTAGACAGTGGCAGGGGAGTAGACAGTGGCAGGAGAGTAGACAGTGGCAGGAGAGCAGACAGTGGCAGGAGAGGGGACAGTGGCAGGAGAGGGGACAGTGGTTAGAGAGTAGACAGTGGCAGGAGAGTAGACAGTGGCAGGAGAGTAGACAGTGGCAGGAGAGTAGACAGTAGCAGGAGAGTAGACAGTAGCAGGAGAGTAGACAGTAGCAGGAGAGTAGACAGTGGCAGGAGAGTAGACAGTGGCAGGAGAGTAGACAGTAGCAGGAGAGTAGACAGTGGCAGGAGAGTGGACAGTGGTAGGAGAGTAGACAGTAGCAAGAGAGTAGACAGTGGCAGGAGAGTAGACAGTGGCAGGAGAGTAGACAGTGGCAAGAGAGTAGACAGTGGCAGGAGAGTAGACAGTAGCAGGAGAGGGGACAGTGGTTAGAGAGTAGACAGTAAAAGGGATTGGGACCATATTATGTTATACAGTTAAAAAAGACAGTAGCCAACCACTACTGTGCAGAGAAAACCAATTTCTCTCTCTAAGATTGTCATATTCTTTTAGTGTTTACAGACTGTAAACTCCAGTGGGAAATTATGGTTGTTCATCCACCTCTGGAATTCGTTCCAGAACTTGAACTTTGCATGCACATCCATTTTACAGATCTGGCTAATTTATATGCAGATTATTGGTTCCTTGCCTCTCAGGCAGACACACTCCGATTTGCAAGGAAACTCCACTAATTAGTCACTTTTTATAACATGCTTTTCGGGAGAGACACACAAAAGACACACCCATAAATGATCAGTCTCTAGGGTTCTTTATTAATATCCTACCCAGATGATGTCACAGAACAGTCCAACATTTTAGAGGATGGTAATACTGGGTTTCCCAGCTATCTGATGCTTTTAATGACCCAAAAATATCTAGAACTGGCCCTAACCCCAAAACACCTATGTCTGACGAGACAGTGCAGCCTTGGTCCCACAACTGCATGCAGCCTATCTATCACCCCCTGAAATATTAGACTGTACTGACCTGTGGATTTCCCCTGTTTGGGGTAGGATATTAATAAAGCATGGTCTCTACTAGCAGCAGCAAACTTTCAATACAGTAGGCAAATGTACCAGGTTTGAGCATGACATTACACACCAGCAGAAGAGGCAAACTGGAATTCAACATGACAAAGGATAAGAGAGGCAGGAGGAGACCAGCAGAAAGAATGCGAGGCACTTCAGCATACTTACCACCTTACAGACAGGACGCAGCTTCTCCAGGACCGTGATTCTGTCCTTATCCTGAAACTCTGCCCCATCAACCCCCGGAGGAGGTTCACAATACAAGAGTTTTCCCTGCAAATAAACACCAGCCATTTACTTTCTGACCCTGGGATAAACACCAGACATTTACTTTCTGACCCTGGGATAAACACCAGACATTTACTTTCTGGCCCTGGGATAAACACCAGACATTTACTTTCTGACCCTGGGATAAACACTAGACATTTACTTTCTGACCCTGGGATAAACACCAGACATATTTCTTTTGTCATCATCATCCCGTAAAACTACATGTCGTTGGGTCACCAGTTTCTGTTGACTGTCTGATCAGCTCTCTCGACCTTTGGGGTGGTCAGTTGCCATGGACTTCATGGTTGCATGTTTGAGGCCTGTCCAGTCAGGTTCTGTAATCAGGTCTGCATATTTCTTTACTCTGAGATAAAACAACTGACAATTTGTTTAAACCCTTAGATAAAAGTACTGACATTTTTATTTGCTGAAATGAAACAGCATACTTTTTTTTCTGCCTCTGAGACAATTATTTTCTGCCACTAAAATAAACACCAGACATTTATTTTCTGTGACTGAGATAAACACTAAACTTTCATTTTTTTTACCATGAGAATGAACACCAGAAATTTATTTTCTGTCCCTGAGATGAACTTCAGACAATCATTTTCTGACCCTGTGATAAAACACCAGACATTCATTTTCAGTTGAAAATAAACCATTTTTTGTTCTAACATTCTAACACAATCCATAGCTCATCAAATCTGAACTGCCATTGATCTGCTAAGGTCACTGTTTGAAGGTGACTGTCTTCACAGCACCAGGGTTTGAAGCCTTCTGGTCAAGTCTTGGCTCCTTGCCAAGAACTGTGACAATTCATTTTGTTTTCAATGGTTCACCCAGAGCCCACACGGGAAAACCAGCCCAATAAAATAGTAGAGTGGAGCTAGTTTGCAATGTATTGTAAAGGGGGTGCAACAACCAAGTTACAGTCCTCATACCTTGACAAAGTCTTTGAGAATGTATCTGGCAGCCCTCGGACCGTCTGGCACACCTCTGGCATTCATGAAGCCCCTCATGGCTGTAGACAGAAGATTTGAGTGTAAGAATCACCATGTCAGTGACAAGACAATCACCAGTCTGACACACTGACATGTCAGTGACAAGACAATCACCTATCTGATACACTGCCATGTCAGTGACAAGATAATTGCCTGTCTGCTACACTGACATGTCAGTGACAAGACAATTATCTGTCTGATACACTGACATGTCAGTGACAAGACAATCACCTGTCTGATACACTGACATGTCAGTGACAAGACAATCACCTGTCTGATACACTGACATGTCAGTGACAAGACAATTACCTGTCTGATACACTGACAAGTCAGTGACAAGACAATCACCTGTCTGATACACTGACATGTACGTGACAAAACAATCACCAGTCTGACATGTCAGTGACAAGACAATCACCTGTCTGATACACTGACATGTCAGTGACAAAACAATCACCAGTCTGACATGTCAGTGACAAGACAATCACCTGTCTGATACACTGACATGTCAGTGACAAGACAATCACCTGTCTGATACACTGACATGTCAGTGACAAGACAATTACCTGTCTGATACATTGACAAGTCAGTGACAAGACAATCACCAGTCTGACACACTGACATGTCAGCGACAAGACAATCACCAGTCTGACACACTGACACGTCAGCGACAAGACAATCACCAATCTGACACACTGACATGTCAGCGACAAGACAATCACCAATCTGACACACTGACATGTCAGCGACAAGACAATCACCAGTCTGACATGTCAGTGACAAGACAATCATAATTTTTTTAATAAGGCTTCTTCATCTCTTTCAGTTGTGCTCCAAGTTTCAGAGCAAATAAACAACTGGTCCTATTAACACTTGATATACTGTTATCTAGCTATAATCAAGTTAACACACAATCTATATCAATCAACTTCTCACATAATATAAATTATATGATGACCTACTTTCACATGAGCAAAACTACATAGTAACCTACTTCTCACAGACTCTATGACTATATCTAAAGTAACATACCTCCATATGCATTCAGTAGCTCCTCTGCAGTCGGATTTCTTTCTGCATTATCATCCAGTGACGGTCTCTTGATCATAATGCTGTACGTGGCTTCCAGGACATTTCGTGGAATCCGATCACAGACGTACAAATCAAAGTTAAGGATCAATCAGATTTCAATGACACAAATATTTTGTTTTAACTGCCGGCCTTTTAGCACATCGAACCAGACATTTAGCACACCGAACCAGACATTTAGCACATCGAACCAGACATTTAGCACATCGAACCAGACATTTAGCACATCGAACCAGACATTTAGCACATCGAACCAGACATTTAGCACATCGAACCAGACATTTAGCACATCGAACCAGACATTTAGCACATCGAACCAGACATTTAGCACATCGAACCAGACATTTACTTGTTTCAGACCAATCAGCACTCAAAGGGTCATGGGGTCAACATCACGTTGACCACCTTTACTTTCCAGGATACTACCTGAGGGTATCCATGGTGAAGTGGTCAAGCTGCCTGCCTCCTGCTCTAAAGGCCGAGGGTTTGTTTCACAGCTACATTGTTCAGTTTGCAAACACAATTTTTTACAAAGACCTCTAGGGATTATCCCAGAAGCTACGGTGTTTGTGCTTGAGTGATGCTCGTGGCAGGCGGCTAGCTCGTTCTGCTCAGAGAGTCTGGGCTATAAGAGATGAAACTGAGTGTAATGAAGTTTAAGCTCTCACCTTCAACCTTTTACTTGGTATCAATATGAGGTCAGTTTTGAATATATTCAGTATCTAAATCTTGTGTCCACTGAAACTTGACACAGCCACCTGCCAGGTTGTACCATCAAAAGAGTTACAAATACCGTTCTACATATAATGGTGACTATATCAATATGAGGTCAGTTTTGAATATATTCAGTATCTAAATCTTGTGTCCACTGAAACTTGACACAGCCACCTGCCAGGTTGTACCATCAAAAGAGTTACAAATACCGTTCTACATATAATGGTGACTAGTGGCCAGTTTTCCTGTATACCAGATCACAGCATTACAAAAAAGAGAAAGAAACAAGAATATTAAGCAAATGAAGACGAGAATGAGAGTAAACAGGAGAGAAAGGAAGTGCAGTAACATTAGAAGTAACAAAGAACAGTAGGAGGGACAGTGGAAGTACTATCAACAGCAGTAGTAGTATCAGCGGAAGTAATATCCACAAATAGAAATATTAACAGACAGCTACAGCAATATCCATAAACAGCAATATTAACAGATAGCTACAGCAATATCCATAAATAGAAATATCAACAGATAGCTACAGCTATATCCATAAAACAGCAATATTAACAGATAGCTACAACAAAATCCATAAACAGCAATATCAACAGATAGCTACAGCAATATCCATAAACAACAATATCAACAGATAGCTACAGCAATATCCATAAACAGCAATATTAACAGACAGCTACAGCAATATCCATAAATAGAAATATCAACAGATAGCTAGAGCAATATCCATAAACAACAATATTAACAGATAGCTACAACAATATCCATAAACAGCAATATTAACAGATAGCTACAGCAATATCCATAAACAGCAATATTAACAGATAGCTACAGCAATATCCATAAACAGCAATATTAACAGACAGCTACAGCAAAATCCACAAACAGCAATATTAACAGATAGCTACAGCAATATCCACAAACAGCAATATTAACAGACAGCTACAGCAATATCCACAAACAGCAAAATCAACAGACAGTCACAGCAAAATCAACAAACAGCAATATCCACAAACAGCCACAGCAAAATCGACAAACAGCAATATCCACAAATAGCCACAGCAAAATCAACAAACAGCAATATCTACAAACAGCCACAGCAAATTCAACAAAGAGCAATATCCATAAACTGCTAAAGCAAAAGGATATCAGGTTGATGGGGGATACATGGTCCCTGAGCTCATCTATGGGCAGGATTCCGTTGATGACCAAGTGGGCCTTGGTGGCCACAAATGACGGGAACACCAGCCCGGGACAGTCACACAGCATCAGGTGCTGGTCCACAAACAGGGTCTAACGGGACAGCAACCAAAAATATATCAACTTTTACATCTATATTGTGATCTAGGGTCTAACGGGACAGCAACCAAAATTATATCAACTTTTACATCTATATTATGATCTAGGGTCTAACGGGACAGCAACCAAAAATATATCAACTTTTACAACTATATTATGATCTAGGGTCTGACGGGACAGCAACCAATAAATATATCAGCTTTTACATCTATATTATGATCTAGGGTCTAACGGGACAGCAACCAAAATTATATCAACTTTTACATCTATATTATGATCTAGGGTCTGACGGAACAGCAACCAAAATATATCAGCTTTTACATCTACATTATGATTTTCTTCTTCGTGTTCATCAGCTGTAAACTCCAGCAGAAAGTTCTGGCTGTTCATCTAATTCTGGACTTTGGTATTGTTTTAGAAGTTGCGTTTTGGATGCACATCCATTTTGCAGATCCGACTTACGTGTTCCTCGCCACTTAGGGAGATGTTCCATGGCTCTGAATGAAACACCCTCAATCAATCGACTCTTCTTCTTCTTCTTCGCGTTCACCAGCTGTACACTCCGGCGGAAAGTTCTGGTTGCTCGTCAACCACTGAACTGCAGTCCTGCTCCAGAACCTGAGTGTTGCGTGTGCATCAGTATAACAGATCTCATTCTCCTGAATACAGACTGTTGGTTCCTTGCCTCTCCGGCAGATGCACTCCGACTTCAAAGGAAGCTTCCCAATTAGTCGACTTTTACGACATGCTTTTGGGGAGGCAGTGGGTCTATTCTTGTTTTTCCCACAATGGGGCCCCGGAACCCACACGGGGGAGTCGACACTTATGACATGCTCGTTACAGAAGCAGTGGGTCATATTTTCTCGAAAATAGGGTTCTGGAATAAGGTTTTTGGTCATGTAACTGCTGATTCAGAAATGCCCAGATCAAATTCCTAATTAAAAACTTTCAGGCACAAGCTAATTCTGAGCCGTTATTATTTGAGTCCAGGTTATAAACTTTACTCTTTCCTCATGGTGACCTTAAAGAGAGAAAAAAACACTGCCAAAGACCTGAATCGTATTATGTGGAATTTTGGGTTTTACCACAGAATATTCCTAAACAAAAATCAAGAATCATTTTACACAGGTCACGAACAAAACCTTACAAATTACGTTTACGGACAATAACAATATTTAACTTCTACAAAATAACAGGAGCTGATAAACATGACAGAAGTAGAGAATTGATTGGGCTATATCTTTCTCAGCTTTAAAAAAAAAAGCTTAACATGACCCGTCCTTGACCCAGCAGCCAGGTACCACTGTAATTATTGGGAAATTCTGATGTCCTAATTTCTATAAATAAATCCAATTTTTACAAGAATTCGCCACCTAAATGCTATTTTTAGCAACTACTCTTGTTACCAATCATTCTAAAAATTTGCCCAGGGAAAACATACAGAATGCAGTTAGCAAGGCTTCCAGCAAACAAGCTGGGAAAAGGAGATTTGCCAGGCCATGGCACAAACAGGGCACCAGGTTTTATGCTTCTCGGGACGAGAGGGTTACCGTAGGTGGTGATTCTGAAATCTTAAATGTGTCAAAATCATAAATTTTAACTGAATATCTTCAACACTTTCATACCTGTAAATGTTTAGTACGACCAGGTGTGGCAGACACACCAAGCTTCTTTTCTTGGAGAATCACGTTGATCGTTGAGCTCTTACCCACGTTTGGGTAGCCAACCATCCCGACTGTCTTCACATCATCCGACCTTGAACTTGCCGAAGGATGAGCCAACTGACGGAACACCTCCAACAGCTCCTCGGCACTAATTATCTCAGGGTTGTTGCTGATATTCAAATGTGGAGCAGTTGAAGACTCTGAGGCCACAGATGAACCAGCACATCTGCTGCTTGAGGTGTTTTTGGTGTTAACGGGGTCATCACACTTTTCCTTAAGATTCGTTAACTTCTGACTCTCCTCCAGCTCATCGACTGTATCGTGGTCCTCATCCTTCTCTTCACAGCTGTCATCATCGGCATCATCAGAATTATCATCCTGACTGTCCTCTTCATCGGTCCATTCACCATCACTGGCTGCAGCTTCAGGAAACTCCTGGGGAAGCAAAAACAATGTTTATTAACATATGAAAATATTAATGAGAATTACTTATAATAAGTCTGATTATAAAAATAATCATTATCGTGTGTTTCATTCTAAGTAGAAGTGCAACTGTCTGAGAGGCAAGGAACAACAGCCTGCATACAGATAAGCCAGATCTGTAAAACGAATGTGCATGCTAAGTCACAGTTTTGGAATAGATAAAACTGCAAAAGTGGACGAACAACCACAACTTTCAGCCAAAGTTTACAGCTAGTTAACGTGAAGAAGCATGTCGTAAGAGTAAACTAATTTGGGATTTTTTTAAAAGTCGGTGTGCATTTGCCCGAGCGGCAAGTAACAATAAAATAAACTGCACACATATATAAGCCATTAAAATGGATGAACACGCAAAACTCAGGCCCTGGCAAAAAGCTATTGTCCAAATGGGCAACCAACCAGGACTCTTACCCAGAGCATACAGCCAGTCAACAAAGAATAAGACCACCCACAGACCACCAACATACTATAGACATCACTCATACACCAGACATCATCCCCAAAACACAGACATCAATCACAAACCACAGACATCACTAACAAACTAAAGATTCCACCCACACAGCACACAATTCAAGAGGAAACAATATTTGTGGCATACCTCTTGTCTTTCCTTTTCCACTTTTGCAGAGAAGAACACCACTCGCAGGCGCTCCTTATCAAAGTATTCAGCCCACTGCTGCCTGTGGAAAACACAATATACATTCTGTCTGTGTGTGCGCGGCGGAGGAATCTGACCCTGGTGTACACAAATGCACACCAAAAAACCTGTCATAAAAATATTGCTTTAATCAAATTCTGGGCTGCAGAAGTGCTAAACTATATGTGATAGTGCGCCATGACCAGAGCTCTGGACCTATCTACTACACCTCTCCGTGGTCATAAAAAAAACAGGTTCCCAAAGGAGAGCCTGGCAAACATAGAATCGGATTTATGTTTCCTTTGAATTCTGATCATCTTCACTGTTTGAAAGAAAAAAAACACACATGCACACAAACAGCCTAATACTATTTCTCTTAGCCATGAGCTGTAGTATTGACCCTTTCGCTCCGAGAAAACTGACATTTTCGGTTGGCACAATTTTTCCATAAAAGCCACTTTACCGACTTGCTAAAGAGACGTGTTTACGAGACATCTAGCTGACACGATTCAGTGCATCTTCACCTGCGCAAATGATCAGCGTGACAGGGGATGACTGAATTTACATTAAAAAACAGTTTTGGTTTGGGGTGGGGGGTTTCCTTTTGACCAAGAGCTTTTTTCTTTAACAGAAATTCCTGTGTCATATTTTCCCCACTGGCTATAGAGGTGACCGGGTCACAGGGTCAAGTAAGTGTCATGCTATGATTAGTTCACAGGCCCCAAAGAGATGTCAGCCAGTTAATTTTGTGCCGCATCAGCTTCAACTGATTATGTTACTTATTTGTTCTGAATAACTGATTGATTCTGTATTTCTCAAAAATGGAAAGTATGGGAGCTAGGTTTTTTTTTTGGCTAGGTCACCAGGGTGAAGGGGTTACCAAAAAAAATGTATCACTGTAATAGTTGATGTACGTTATTCCATGATCATTTAAAAAAGTTGATCTATCATGGTATTATGGTTCTTTGTCTTCTGCATTCATACTTACATAGGTGGTTGGCATATTGTGTTGTAGTTGACAAACAGGCTGTGATATCTGTATCTTTCAACCCAAAACATCTGATTTCACAAGCCCCTAACCAATCCATTTTACGACATGTGTTTAAGGGGGGAAGGGGAGAGGGGGGTTGCATTTGGTCAATCCTCCTCTATCCCGACTGGGACTCTGGAACCCACATGGGAAGTGCAACACTCCCACTGCTGGTACTGCTGTTGGAGTGGGAAATCCCAGGTTTTCATATGAGATGAGGTGACCAATTCCCTTTCACGTTGCTTTTCCATTCCAGAGAATTTCCAGAAAATTATTTTCTAACAGTCATTTTTATGAATGTTAGATCGATCCTTTGAGTTCCCCTAGTGGGTTCTGGGGTCCACTGTGGGGAAAACAATTACAGACCTACTGCCTTCCCAACAAGCATGTTAAAGGAGTCGTCTAATTGAGGACTTCCTTTAAAGTCAGAATGCATAGATCTGAGCGGCAAAGAACAACCAACTACACACAAATAAGCCAGTAAAATGGATGTAAATGCAAAACTCAGGCCCTGGCACAAAGCCAAAGTTCAAATCCTGGTTTAAAAAAAAAATCTGCAGCTTATGAGGGGGTTGAACCCAAACCCTGGCAGGCAGTAATATTCACCATCCTGCCACCACAGCTTCATAGGGTACCATTTAAAAAAGATAACTGCCTCTCTTGTACTTGAAGATAGCAAATACCAGCTCTCTTGTAGTTGAAGATAACAAACTCCTGGTTCTCTTGTAGTGTAAAATAAACTCTCACCTCTGTGGTAGTGTAAGAAAGTCAGCTTTGTTGATTAGCAGCATAACAGTTTTCCGCGGGTCAACCTCTCGGACGTAAGTCTCTAAATCTTCACAGCGGAACAGCAGCGGATTTCTAGCATCAACAATCTGTACAACAACATCACTGAAACAGAGAGGTAGGGTCTCAATAAACACGAACAATTTGTATGACAATATCATTGAAACGGAGTGGTTAAAGATTTCAACAAACTTAGAATATCATGTTAACATCACTGTCAATCCTCCCCGTGTGGGTTCCAGGGCCCTATTGTGGGGGAAAACAAGAATAGACCCACTGCCTACCCAAAAGCATGTTGTAAGAGTCGACTAACTGGGAAGCTTCCTTTGAAGTCAGAGTGCATCTGCCTGAGAGGCAAGGAACCAGCAGACTGCATTCAATTGAATCAGATCTGTAAAACTGATGCACACGCAACACTCAGGTTCTGGAGCAGGACTGCAGCCCAGAAGTGGACGAACAACCAGAACTTTACGCCAGAGTTTACAGCTGGTGAACGCGAAGAAGAAGAAGAAGACTGTCAATCCAAATACAATAACAGATCCCTGATATGGCAATTCAGCAGACGCAGAATTCTGACTAAAACTAATTTCTCGAAAATCATGAGTAAAGGTAAGCAGGTTAATCACAGACACAATTGCATACAGTATAAATGTATTACATACATTTAGAACAGTATGTAGAGTATATGTATATGTATAGTACACAGAGCAGAATAGAATTGTATAGTACAGTATGTAGAATAGTTTATATATAGTACACACAGCAGAATAGAATTGTATAGTACAGTATGTAGAATAGTTTATATATAGTACACAGAGCAGAATAGTAATGTATAGTACAGTATGTAGAATAGTTTATATATAGTACACAGAGCAGAATAGAATTGTATAGTACAGTATGTAGAATAGTTTATATATAGTACACAGAGCAGAATAGAATTGTATAGTACAGTATGTAGAATAGTTTATATATAGTACACAGAGCAGAATAGTAATGTATAGTACAGTATGTAGAATAGTTTATATATAGTACACAGAGCAGAATAGAATTGTATAGTACAGTATGTAGAATAGTTTATATATAGTACACAGAGCAGAATAGTAATGTATAGTACAGTATGTAGAATAGTATTCGTACAGTACACAGACTTGATCAGGAGATCTCACCGGTGACCCAAAAAATGGTTCTTCTTATCAGAAACTGCTTTATCTAGAAGTACAGTATATGTATAGTACACAGAGCAGAATAGTAATGTATAGTACAGTATGTAGAATAGTATATGTACAGTACAAAGACTTGATCAGGAGATCTCACCGGTGACCCAAAAAATGGTTCTTCTTATCAGAAACTGCTTTATCTAGAAAAATAATAGTTCAAGCAAGAAAAAACTGCTGGAAATAAACAAATTGCTCTTCTTAAAAGAAATTTGCCGCATCCAAGATTGCCTCGAGTGGTCTGCACTGTACTAGAGTAGAGAAGGGCAGAATGTGAAAAAGGCCTGCGAGCCCAATACTTTACACTTGAAAATAAAATCTGTTTATTCATGTTTAAAAAACCCAGTTCTCACCTGCGTTCGATGACACGCCACAGCTGTCTCCAGAAATCCAGATTTTTCTCGTACGGCGTCAGTTGGATGTGATCTTTCTCCTCCAGACTGTAGGGAAAAACACCAACAGTATTCACAAGTCAAACTCATGTCAACTTTGTCAATCCCTTGAGTCACCCTACATCTTTTAACTTCGCTATCTAACTCCCTTCTAATTGAGTTTTTTGGTCTTTGTTTATTTCTAGAATCTGTTTTCATTTACTGTCCCAGGTACAACATATCAAAGCAAAACTTTTTGCCAAGAGAAACACCGATGCAAGCTAAACTTTATGGGTCGCTGAGTAAATTACAACAGACAGTGAAGTTCATACCAGAGATAACATTGCAGACATAGATAATCTTTTTCAAGCAAACTAAAGAAAAAAAAACAAGTTTTCATTTCTTTTGATCACAAATTTTCTAGTGCTAAGAAAATTCCTCTTGCCTTTTGTAGTCATATTTTAATATCTTTGTCAGTCTTCCTGTCTTCATCTACATAACTGCCCAAATTAATTTTCCACGGCTGGCCGGTTTTTGTGGCTGCTGTTGTTTACAGTATAAGAAAGTCAACCTCAAGCCCAAACCTATCCTTAGTTGCGGCTGATGATATGCCTGGTAGGATGCAGTCTTATTATTCTTTGCTTTCTGTGAGGTTCCTGGTAGAGTGCTGAGAGAAGTCTGGTGATCTTTCTGGAAACCTCTAGACCCCAAAGCAGAAGACGAGTGACTAAGTAAAAGTAAAAAAGTCAAGAGGCCTCCAGTAACATAAGCATTTGATTGTTTGCTATAAAGCTGAAACTAAGATTATTAGATTTGATTATTAATTCTTTCACCTCCAGCGGTACAAGGTTAAGGAAAAACAACAGACCCACAGTTGGAGTGCATCTGCCTTTGAAGCGAGGAACCATGTCTGCAAGTAAGCCCAATTTTTCTAAAGATCTGCATGCAAAGCTTAAGTTTGAGAACAAGACTAAAGTCCAGAAGTGGACAAACAACCAGAACTTCCTGCCAGAGTGTACAGAAGGTTAACCCGAAGAAGACGAGTTAATGTTTCCACTGAAAATGACATATCATCAACATGTAGCCTCTGATAAGAGTAGATAGCCATGTTTCACCATCTCATATGATCACCAGAATCTCATATCAGGTCAGTGTTCTTATCTTATCCAATCCATGCTGCCAAATCATTTCAAGTAATTACATCTTTGCCTTCTGCTTCCTCTCCCTCCATCAATCTTGCCAGATTTACCAAGTCCTCAAGTCTAATACTCCTAACATACTCAGAAAATTTGACAAGCTTTTCTGTATATCTTCAACTCTTAGACTTCTTACTAGAAATTCAAACTGTGCATGCACACACAGACAACAATCCCTGCGCTGGAAGATTCAAACAAGCAACTCACAGCTTCAGCTGTCTTCTCCAGTCAGTGAAGGAGTCTCGCTCCATCATCCCTAACATCTCCTTTGTTGTGCTCTCATCCCACTTTGGCCTGAAAGAAAGAAATACATTCGGTTATCTCTGGATTTAGTTGTAAAACTAATACTAAAGTTACAATTTTTTATTCTAATGTCAGTAAATACAGATTTGCCTGTCTGTCTGTCTGGATGTGTCTACATGTGTGACACACACGCATCGTAATTGTAACTGACTCAGAAAGCATGCTAAGCAAGGTGAGGGCAGGCATGCTTCACTTCGGAGGTCACAGGTGAGGAGTATTGTCTGGATCTTTTCTCCAGGTCCTGGTGATGTGTTGGAAAATGAGCAGGCGGACAAACTGGCTGGCTATGCACAACTTGGTGGAATACTGATGCATGATAAGGCAGATGTGGTTAGGGCTTTGTGGGAGAGCGTGTACAGTTCGAAGGAGCAGATGGACCACCACAGTCTGGTGAGAGTGATGCAGCGGGGAGTGGCAAGGGATTCTTGCCCATACTCGACACTCAGAGGAAAGGCAGGACGGACGTATAATCAGACTGCTTCTGACATCACTGGTATTGGAACTCCGCACTGGCTGCTGAAGATGGGGAAAGAGAGTTTATGGGAATGTCCTGAGTGCTGTGATGTTGGTTCTTGAACCAAACCAGCAACTCACATCTGTGAAAGAGAAAACCCTCAGGTTATCTGCAGTGCATATTGGCAAGCAACTTTTTTTGTGGAATTTTCATTACTAGCTTTGCCAACTGGTGTGGGTGATCATGCCTCTCCACAACCCACAATCTCCCACAGCATGAATCAGTTCTCGTGCCAACACCCCTCCACACCATGACAAAAAACTGCCAAGAATCTTCTCAGGTTGTTTTCCTCCATCTCTCTCTTTCCATAAATCTTTCAAGCAGTCCAACATGTTTTTGTTTACTTCTTCTCATAACATGGACAAAAACGTTGACTGCTAAATGTTTTCTAAAAATAAGGATTTAAAATGAAAAGGACAGACCTGCGTGGAATCTGTAGCAAGGCTCTGTTGGCAGTCTGTGCTTCTGAGATTTTCTGCAGATCTGCTCGGGTGAGTCGGGCACTTTCTCCGGGCTGGGAAATGATCTGAATGTTCTGTCTCTCTAAAATGAAAAAAGAAATGATGATCAGTAACCAGACATCATTCATAAACATTTTCCTGTTGACTGAAGTGACCTGATATTAATCTTCAAGTTTTCTGTTGACTGAAGTGATTTGACAGTTGGTTTTGGCAAGAGAATCTAATCACAACAGGCCTACAAAATTATAAATATAGTTATGAATAAATATTTTTTTTTTTACAATAAAAAACCAAATCATCCCTGTTAAAGCAAACCGATTCATAAGTTCAGCTGAAACTTTTACCTGCAGTAAAATCTTTCCCAGCCATCTCCGCGGTGGTCAAGAAATCTTCTAGATTGTTCTGCTCCGTGACCGACTGAAAGTTGATGCGGTTGTATGTGATACCATCGTCTATCTCTGTAGTGTGAAGCTGAAATCGACAGTTTTGAAAAAAATTATTATTTGTGAATCTATTCGAGTTTAACATTTGATAATTCTGATTAACACTGCCAATCATGAATCTCTTTTAACCATCTCGCGGTAACAGAGTTGTAAAAACTGGAATGAAAGCATTATGACAGAGCTGGCTATGCAAAAAGCAGCAGCTGGGAGACTTTTTTCAGGCCATGAACCGAGGGTTTCTCAGCAAAAGAGAAACTGGCAAAAAGATGAAAATGGCTGTTTACTGCTCCACCTATGTACCAGTCCTGACTAGGTGTGATTTATGGGCAATGACAACAGACTCACTTCATCGCCTCTCTAGAGAGGGACAGTGTTTAATATTCAGAATTAGGACGGGGCACAACAGATTTCGTCAACATATGTTCAAATTTTTTGGTGTAGGAAATACGGAGACCTGTCCCTGCAGCGTGGCACCCGAAAATGCTGAGCATGTGCTCCAACACTGTCAACTGTATGCTGACAACAGAGACGTAATTTGGCCTGTTCCAACCACAATGAAGACAAAGCTTTATGGTACACGAGAGGATATGGACTGCATGATAGCTTTCATAAAGGCTACCGGCCTCCTGATATAAGTATTCTGACAGAAGGATTGAAGAAGAAGAAGACAATAGCTCATAGAAACCATCTTTTCTCTGGCACTACAGAATTACAAAGTGCATTTGCGATGCTTAAGCCACAAAAATCTATAGATATACTCCATCTTATTTATGGGATCTATAGCATACATGTGAACATGCAAACAATCAATCCATAGATGAGGCCCTTTCCCTATTCCGACATTTAGTCACTGGTGAACAATTTTTGTAGTAGTTGTGGCGTGACATCAAAGAACTTCATTCCTGCCTGTCTGCTCAGTAGTTTAGAGGTTCAAAAACCCTCGATAATAAAAGTAGACAAGACTGAATTCTCTTCTTCTTCTCTAGTTTCCTAGGGTAGAATTTCAAAGAGCTAAAAGATGTTTTATAAAACAACATATGAAAGGTTCTTTTTTAAAGGGTTTTTTAAGAGCTGAAAAGGTTAACAACGCTGAAAAGATAACAAATACGATGGAGAGACATCTAACATGATCTACTAGCCTCAATGACATTTTACTATAGGGCTCTGTAGAGGCACAGAGGCTGACAAAGAAACATGGGCACCAAACTAGGCTGATTGGAAAACAGGACAACATGTCCCTTTTGCTCTAAAAAATCCAAACTGACTTACAAATGTGTCGGCCGCAGCTTTTTTAGGACCATGTTTTCTCTGCATGTCCTTGACCAATGAACTTCGGCTCATCTGAGCGATCTGCCCCTTGCGTTTTCCCATACTGACCTTGTTGCTGTAGGGATGAAACTGAAATCTGTAGAGAAATGTTCAAAGGGACAAACAATCACATATACACCTGAAAAATGAGCAGGGTCTTTTTAAAAACAAAAGTATTTCCTCTTTTGAGCTGAATTATCTTCACAGCACTCCGGACACATCCATAGGTAGGTGCTCAGATTCTCCCTTTAACATATTCATCAGAGTACGGCTGTTAACAGTGCCAGTCCTAAGCATGTTAACAAGACTTCTTGTGCGACCGGTGTGCCTCTCATGCTTGGCGGTGCCAATTTTTACTCCCAATTCTCGCATTCTTAGCAATGATATGAACATGTGGCTTCCAAAATCCTCGGAACATCCTATATCTTTAAAGGCATTAACAATGTCGGCATGATCCATAGGCCGGTCATCACAACTTAGGCAGAACATGCAAGTCTTTCAGCTCTTTCATTGCCAACAACACATGCATAACCTAGGAGAAATATAAAGGTAACTGCACACACAGGAGAGTTTTGTAATGACTACACCCAATGTCTGCATAAGCAGCTTGCCTCGACCCACCGGATCATGCTCATAGAATTTCTCAGCAAACCAGCAGGAATAGATGTGGTTCTAGCAACATTAAAGCTTGTGACACCCCATCACCTCCATCGTCATGCTGTTGGTAGTCATGGAGAAGGCACTGCTGGTTTCTTGAACTGTTTTGCCTGCAGAGCGAGCTGAAAATGCCTGTGCCCTCATATAATGGACCCGTCTGTGCAGATCAGCCCATCTGTCTTGTCACTGTTAAGCACAGAGACATCAGTGTTGACAGTGATGGGATTCTGCTATCGACAACTCCTATCAAGTGTGACGATGCAGGAGAAGGAGCGACTGAGCGCTTTAAGCAACAGTATTTATTTCTCACCAGGCTGACTGTCTGGAAGGCTGCGGACCTGCTTTATACCATCCTCTTTAACATTCCTTGGCCTTACATTTGTATTTTGTGTGTGTTTATATGATTTATATTTTATATTATTAAGAATCCTTGCCACAGCACTCCAGGCTGATCCAAAGGTGCTCCAGTCTCGTGCTTAACAGCTCTACAAGTATAATGATGCCACCTATTGTGTATGGATTAATTGAACACCTCAGTGAAATATCTGTGTCTGGCTGTGCCGGGTTGCACTGCCCTTTCCAACAACCAGGATGTGGAAACTCAGCAGCACGCACGGCAGTGATAACATAACTAAAATAACTTATTAACAGCATCTGCCAGATAATCTATATTCTGCACTCATAATCTTCTGTTGTAAACACTGGTGGAAAGTTATGATTATTCATATTTCACCCACCGATGGACTACACCAAGTGTAGTGTGCATTTCCGTTTGACAGATATGCCATGATTACAATCATATATCATATATGGCTTATCCCTATGGCAGACCGATGGTTCCTAGCTAGCCTCTCAGATAGATGAGATGCACTCAAACTTCCAAGGAAGCCAGTCTTCTTAGATTTAGGTTTAGTCGACTTAACTTCGACTGACTGATGACTGTTCTTTATTCATACGGATACGACATGGTTCTTGGGGAGGCAGTGTGCTGTGAACTGTGAGTGGCTGAGTGGTTTGTTTTCCCACCACAATGAGGACCCGGAACCCACAGGAGTAAGGGATTTTGTTTGAATTCCAAGACACCACTATTATTCTTATAATTCATGGGGTGGGTTAAGGTTCTGTCTTCTGTTATCTATTTAGTTCTTTTGATGACTTGATGAGAGTGAGACTTGATGAATTTGATCACATCACATTTCACATTATTCATTATTTTTATTTCAATTTCATTATTGTATGTATTTTTTTTTTTTTTTACTTACTATTTTTATATGTGCGAAATGAACAATAATCCTTCTTGTGAACGTGCAAACAAGAATCAAAAGTACGTGAATAAGCCTGTAATTATACAACTACAACACAAATAAGTGTGTAAGTGTAACAGTTTAGTCAAATATTGCACCACACTTTACAAGAAGCAGACGACTACAGGCGGTGGCCATCTTTGTCTACTTCCGGCATGTTCCAGCGACATGTCCAGGTTCTCCAAGATCGTCCGGCCAGAAGTTCTTTCGCTTCTTCTTCTTCTTCATCCTTGTACTGTATCTTCTCCTGCTCTTCCTCTTCGGTCAGGAACACAGACTGGCAGGTTCTGCAACAATCGATGGTGAGTGACGTTTAACCCCACCAGGATCGCACAACCAGCGATAAACATCCCGTGCTACATCATGTAGCAGGTCCTTTGCAGAACGTCGCTCTCATCACGGTCTGCCTGTAAGAAACTCGGTCTCTTGCCAGTTCTCCCGCCTCATGAACTTTCACACTCAAGGAGTCACCTATATCCTGTGCCCATCTTCGTATCGGTCGGCCTCTGGCCCTCCTTCCTGGTACCATGCCTTCTGCTATAATTTTTTCCAATCCGTCGTTGCGCTTGATATGACCAAAATATTTCAGCTTTCGAGAAAGGATGCTGTTTATTAGCCAAAATCTTCCTTGATGTTCAGATCTTTTAAGATGTCAATATTTCTCATCTTCTTTGTCCAAGATATTCTGAGAATCTTTCTATAGCATTTCAGCTCAAAAGCACCTATTCTCTTTTTTAAGGACTGAGAGATAGTCCACAACTCATATCCGTATGGAGCCACAGGGAAGATGCATGCTCTCAAAATTCTAATTTTTATCTCCTTGCTGGTGCTTAACCATAGACTTTTAAGGCTGTTCAATCTTTGCATTGCTATGGTCATCCTCCTTTTAATTTCTGTCGAACAGTCTCCATTGATGAGAATCACCCAGGTACAATTCCCAGAAACCACGTACTACAATTAGGTTATATTAGGGCCCCCGATAACAGTTGAGTGATGCTTTAGAATCAGAACAAATTGCGTTCCATATTGGGACGGGTTCCAACAACTGACACTCGGTGATAAATTGATGACGCTAAATATTGTCAAAGCTCTTTAGGAGGAGTAAACAGTTTTTCTTCTTCTTCTTCTGCGTTCGACATCAGTCACGCTAAACATTGAGTCCTGTCTGGGTCACAAAAAGGATTGAGCGTTTAAGGTCGCCACCGGTCCCCCATAGCTTCTCTTGCAATGTGGCTCCCTTGGGCCAAATCCAGTCTTTGCTGGGAGAGGTAAGGGCAGTACTGTAGTATGTGTCCAGGGATCTGTCTTTCTGCTGCACAATCACAGGCAGCAGATTCTTTTATGCCTATCCTGTACAGGTGTGCTCGAAGACCACAGCGTCCAGTCCGAAGTCTAAAAATTGATGTTTGTTCTTTCCTGTTGAGTTTGTTTATTCTGTCACTCTCTGGTCTGTAATCTCCATTCTGCCTTCTCCACTCCCGCTTGAAAGACTGCTTTAGCGCTGTTTTTGGTTTCCTTGTAGCTGTGTGGTAAATGAGGTTGTGGAAGATTACTCCCAGCTTTTGCCAACTCATCTGCTCTCTCATTTCCTTGAATACCACAGTGGGCTGGTATCCACTGCAAGACCAGTTCTGCTTACTTGGAGAGTTAGCCAATGTTGGTCCTTAGATCTGCAATTAGTTTGTCTTGTTTTTTGCTTGATGGAGTAAACAGTACACAGTTAGATTATAAGACTATATAGATAGATACTAGTATCTATTTACATAGTGGTATGATCTAATTGTGATGATGCAATGGCGGATGGCCAGGAGCTCTGGCCGACACTCTACACTCAGAGAAAGGCATGACGTACATCCAGTCAGACTGCAGCTTGTACCATTGCCAACACAAACTTAAACTGGAAATGCTTTAAAGAAACGATGACATTCAAAAGAAATCTCAAGACGGACGTTGATGAGAAAGGCCAAAGGTGCTGGCTTGGATTAAATCCATAATGTTGAAATAATCGCAAAGGATAGAACAGAATGGAAGAATAAACTGCGAAACAATAACTGATGTATAACTGCAGGACAGGAAAAGGTTCTATCTATTCCCGTGCATGTAGAAACTCGCCTAAAACATCTGCTCACTCCCAACTGAACGTCTGACTCTCATCACCATCAATCAGCAAGTCCTTTACAGAACGTCACTCTCTTCACGGCACGCCTGAAAGTATCCCTTTCCCTAACCAGCTCTCCAGTCCCATGTGCTTTTAATGCATCTTCAATGTCCTGTATCCATCTTCGCGATGGTCGACCCCTGCCTCGCCTTCCACAAACTGTATCCTCCATCGCCGTCTTTTCCAAGCCACCACGACGCTTGATGTGGCCAAAATATTTCAACTTTCGGGACAGGATGCCGTTTATGAGCCAGCTATCCTTGATGTTTAACTCATTTAGAATATCGATGTTTTTTTCTTCTTGTTCTATGGTATTCTAAGAATTTTTATATAACATTTCAATTTGAAAGCTCTAATCTTTTTCATTAGTGACTGAATGAGAGTCTAGGACTCACAATCACGTGTCTCTCTAGATTTAGGGAATTTTAGTTGCCCTTTTTTTTGGGTACTCTTCACTTGATCGCAAACTACCTTAACCACGCCCGATTTATCAAAAAGTAACTAGCTCATTTTGCCCAGAGGTGCGATAATATACACGCAGTTACAAGCACTTGGAGTCACCAACTGGAAGGAACCGGCAAAACACAGAAGTTAGTGATCTCGGTAGCAGTAGCATAAAGTAGCTCTCAGTTCTAAAAAATGAAGAAGAAGAAAAAGTGGAAGAAGAAGAAAAAGAAGAAGAAGAAAAAGTGGAAGAAGAAGAAAAAGAAGAAGAAGAAGAAGTGGAAGAAGAAGAAGAAGAAGAAGAAGAAGAAGAAGAAGAAGAAGAAGAAGAAGAAGAAGAAGAAGAAGAAGAAGAAGAAGAAGAAGAAGAAGAAGAAGAAGAAGAAGAAGAAGAAGAAGAAGAAGAAGAAGAAGAAGAAGAAGAAGAAGTGGAAGAAGAAGAAGAAGTGGAAAAAGAAAAAGAAGAAGAAGTGGAAGAAGAAGAAGAAGAAGAAGAAGAAGAAGTGGAAGAAGAAGAAGAAGAAGAAGAAGAAGAAGAAGAAGAAGAAGAAGAAGAAGAAGAAGAAGAAGAAGAAGAAGAAGAAGAAGAAGAAGAAGAGGAAGAAGAAGAAGAAGAAGAAGAAGAAGAAGAAGAAGAAGAAGAAGAAGAAGAAGAAGAAGAAGAAGAAGAAGAAGAAGAAGAAGAAGAAGTGGAAGAAGAAGAAGAAAAAGAAGGAAAAAAAAAAGAAGAAATGGAGGGAAAGAGGAGGAGAAGGAGAAAAAAACAGGATGAGAAGGAGGAGAGTGACGACAATGAGAAGAAGATGACGAAGAGCCGGAAGAGGAGCAGGAGGAAAAAGAAGAGAAATATTAACAAATGCAAACAAAAAAGGATTCACCATGTCAGTCAATAAAGTTAGTTTAGAGTGTACTCAACGACGTGCAATTAAATTAAAGAAAAAATAGTCAAACACAAATTAAACAAAATTAAATAAAAACAAACATAAATAAGTGCCATAAAGGATTCCCCAAATCAGAAAATCAAACGCTGTAGGTAGTAATTTAAACAACTATAACCTTTGTAATCAGCAACGTATTATTTAATAAAAACAAATATAAATAAACAGTAAATAAATAGTAACAACTATCACAAACAACAACGTTTGTTTAGATGAAATAAATATAAGTGAGCAGTAAATAAAAATTAACAAATATTCAACAAAGAAATGTACTCGAGAACTTGGTTAACAACTGGCAAGACTGATAAAAAGAGAGCAAGAGAAAGTCAAAGAGATATATCTGGATGGCCTGGCCAGTAGGATAAGGGAAGAAAACAACACTGAACTGATCTGTGATTGTGTGGATCGAGTGAGATGGCAAAACATGACAGCCTACGCCTAACGGCACGGCACATAGTGATGATGATGACCAACAAACAAAAACAACAAAGGAATCCCCCAGGTCAAGCCAGCCCGCTCCCCAGGTCAGGGAATACCCCTCCAATAAACTCACCAATCGGCGGCCAGCAATGGCGGCCCTAGCAAGCGGCCGGATGTGGCCTTGCATGAATCGCTTGGCGGTCCCGCTCCCGGTTTCTGCTCCAGTTCTCTTGCTTCTCTTTGTTTCATCTCCTCACGTTTTCACCCGACCATGCCTCCCAAAAAACGCTCCAGCGACGTGGATTCTAATGGCAGTTCTAAAAAACGCAAGCAGGAGAAGAATGATGCAGTGAAGGCGGATTCTAGTGAGGCCAGGGATTCGGGCAGGGACGATGCTGAGCTTGACGGCGGAGACGTTGACACAGAAAATGACAGCGGTTTTGTGAGTTTGTTTTCTCTTCTCTTGGGACATTTCAGTTCAGCTTTAGTCTTTAGGCATAGATAAATGTAATTATGTTCACGGTAACTTCAGATGTCTGGGAGAACTTCCGTGGTTTTACAGTTCTTAACTGACTTAACTTAAATTTACATCAGAATTGAATTCATTCATTCACTCACTCGACTCTTCAGCGACAAATTGCAAATTGTCACAGTGAAGTGACAGGACAGACAGTCACTCATAAAAATAATGTTAGTAATAATACACCACTTGGTGCTTTCTTTTTAGCCGACCACAAATGACGTAACGGGGCAGTCCAATATTTTAAAGGGTGGTAACCGTGTTTTATGTGAATGTGCTTTGCACGTTTCTTCCAAGGCTAAGGCCTAAGGGTTTCGCTTTAAGGCTAAGGGTTTCGCTTTAAGGCTAAGCCTACTATTTTTTCTACTAACCCTAACCAGAACTATACGCTTAATCTACTACACCTTTAAATATTTGACTACCGTGACCTGTGGATTTCCCCTGTTTGTGGTCGGCAAATAAGAAAGTACCCATCACTTCAAATGCTGTTCTTTCCTTATGTTTTTTTTTCATTTCATTTCCCCCCTTCTGAGCCTGCTATCTCAGTAACTGAAGTAACTGAGCATTTTAAACCATGAGATTGAGAATTTGAGTTGGGCTGGCAGACCGACAGGGCGAACGAATCATAACTAACTGAACCTTCAAAAAAGTTATTTTTATTCTTTGTTGCGTTCATCAGCTGTACACACGGGCAGAAAGTGCTGATTGTTCGTCACTCGCCCACTTTTAAACGTCACTAAATTACAGAACTTCAAGAAAAGATATCAAACCGAGCAAAAAATATATCAGCAAGCTTGCCAATATAACGAACACAAACAAAACATGAACGTTGCGGCAATGGAGCCTTCATCAGCAAATACATGGATAAAACATTACCACACAAATACACAGAATCATGAAGCTTTGTGTCTCCAAGCAGCCAGGATGATGTCTTGTCAGTAGTCTAGACAGTTTTTCCAGAATATTCCAGGACTTGAGCTCTGCATGTACACCTTCTTTACAGATGTGGCAGACTGTTGGTTGCTTGCCTCAAGCAGGTGCACCCTAACGTCAAGGAAAGATGCCAACCCCTACCTAATTAAGTTGACTTTTAGGACATGCTTTGTCGGAAGGGTGGTAATAGGTCCCAAAACCAACATAGTAAGTTTATTTTAAATAATTGGAGCATGAGAAGGCAATGGCAGATTATGATCTGATCTAATTCCACAAAAATATAGCATTTCAAGGAAATCTGGCCCTCAAACCCATACACACACAAAATTGCCCACCTCTGCTCTAAAGGACAATAGCAAGTACAACGTGCCCAATATAGGCTCTGCACTCATAGAAAAAAACTGCCACGCTCAGTTTAGGGCACAGTTTTCTGTGACCCACAATTCAATGTTATTTTTCCCTTGTGGCATGTGTCACACTTGTGTTTCTCTGATGCTGTATACAGACGTGTTGAAACAACTTCTTTTCTATGTAATGTCTTTGTTGTAATACCTCAGTACTGTGATGAATAACATCAGTGATATTCTGAATGGTAGCGCAGTCTTACAAGACATGGTCTGGAGTCTATTCAGCACAAAGACACTGGCAGAAAGCTGTTTGGCTCATAATACCTAATTTATATGAATGTTTGTTGAGTCTGCAGTGTCCAGTGCTTAAGCGAAAAACTGATTTGGTCTGTTTGTTCTGTTAAGATATTTGATAACATCTTTTGCATGATTATGACCAGTGTTTGTTTCTCAGTGTTTTGATTTTCTCTTAATGAGAGTTTTTACTTTTGGAAAAGATAAAGGCTGGTAGATTTGCGGCTTGCTGCTGCCTTCCTACGTTTAAGCATCAGCGCTTTCATTACCTTTAATGCCCCAGCGAGATGGAATCCACTGCCAGTTTCTGCTCTTTTTGACAAAACAGCGATTTCCTTTGTTAGACTTTAGTTAAGTGTGCTGTCAGTAGTTTTAGACTCTTGAGCCTGAATAGCTGACTGTGACTATGGTTCTCTGGTTCTTTTTGTTACGACTGCCACCTGGCTTCTAGTGAAGTTTGGTACTTACTGGTTGGTTGTTGACTCTCATCCTAGTAATGCTTCTGTCTTATGTGTGTCTGCTGACCATGGATGCAGCTTGATGTTTTGTTTCATATCTCCTCTCTGGTGTCTGTTTTTGAGGTTTCGGGCTACTGGTTTCTATCATTTAGGTGTTGAGCTGACATCTCCAGGACTGATGGTTCCTCAGGTGGTTTCAAGCCTGCTATAAATATTTGGTTTATAATTGCAAATTCTCACACCATTTTTGTCTTATTATGCGTCCTGTCTGATGTCCTTTCCTCACCTGATTCATGCTGGTTTACCTAGTTCATCAGCTCCACGTTAGTGATTCTAATGTATGTCTAGTTTTGTGTGTGAGCCATTCCATGTGTGGGTTTCTGTCCCCAGTTTGGGAAACAATAGGGAATAGACCCACTGCTTAACTTAAAAGGCGACAAGAGTTTGTTGAAATCATATATTTGGACTGAAAAGTGCTGATATCACAGTCTAGCTGTTGAGATATTAGGGAGATGTTTATAAATCTGTAAATACTCCACAGAAAATTGAACCTCCTATGCTCTGCGGGGAGCTCTTGTTTTGCGGCGCCACCAACTGGGACCTTGTTGGCAGGAAAGCTCTTCCTAAGGGGAGTAAGTACCGTAATTTTGTTTATTGTTGAGATAAAAGTGCAATAGATTTACATATCATGTACCATGCTGATAAAAGTAGCCGGTCATCGTTCGTTATCTCTCATAATCAGTGCTTGGTATCCGCGCACAGTACTGTCTGTCAAAGTTCAGAGCTGGCTAATGCAGAATTAGGAAGACACTTGGATTACCAGGGAGGGAAAGACTGTCCTCTCCTGAGGGAGCTATGAAGCAGCTTGTGGCCACACTTAGTAGACCTGAGAACTAAGTTTTGGGATGCCTTTAGCTAAAGCCCTAGTTTATGACCCACAAGAAAATGACAAAACATAGCTGAAGACATTGCATATATGCAAGAGAAGATTCAATTTTATGGAGAGGCAGCTTATTTTTTTACAAATTATGTAATCAAAGCAGTGTTTTCCTATTGTGGGTTTAAACAAAGAAGGCCCAGACAGTCATCATCATCGAGTGCCTTGCCAGCTGGCGACCCATTTCTCCAATCATCGCTCAGTCATTCTGCCTACATTTGCAGCATTACAATAGAGTCCTGTGTATTGAGATGTTTGAGGATTTTATTCTAAAATATTTGTAATTATAAACAGACAGATGAAAGTACTGTTGTGTCTTAAAAAGTGTGCATGACTGACTGTATTTGTGGTCTATTTCAGTGAAAAACTTGGGCGGGCCTAATCTCTGGGGTCCAAACAGAATCGAGTCACTTAAAGGCATCAAAGTGAGGACTGTGGCCTCTGGTTGTAATGCTGCTCACTGTGTCGCTATCACAAACGAAGGGAAAGTGTTTGTCTGGGGTGAGTTGTGTTAATTCATATTTTCTTTTGTCTTCTGTCACCTAGATGGGTTCCCCCTATTTGGTGGTCTGCCATTACAGGCTTAAGGTGACTGTGATATCATTAAGAAAGAAAAAACTCAATTGTAGAATGTAAATTTTTTTTGGCAAATCTGTTTTGTGTTGTAAACTGCATATTTAAAAATGGTGAGTGACTGTTTGCCACACAGTAGCTGTCTTGTGCAGTATTGCAAGTACATCTGCTGGTTTGTTGTGACTTGTGCTCTCATCGGCTACAGATATAAATCTACTGACAGTTCGTAGGTGTTGGCACCTCTAACCAGTGCCTTATGCATTTAATGTGTGTGCAAGCTGTGACTGCTGTCTGCCTGGCCTTTCACATGGGGCTGCGGTGCGAATTTTGTGTGTGGTTTTCACTGGCACAGAGACGGAGCTGTTATGGGGTGGTCTGTTTGTGATGTTAGAACCCCAACTGATATCCTGTTTTTAATTTGGATATTCATAAATAATAAGTTCTTCAGTAAGACTTGAAAAAACCAGGGTCGGAAGTGTTGTTAGAAAATAACAGGTCAAAGGTCAGCTGTTTTTGAACCCAACAGTCTTCATTAGTGGCTTCCCCTTTGCTGTCCCATTTTTTGATAGTCCATGGAGGCTGTTCCTGTGGACTACTGCCAGATGGGAACAGCGCCGTATTCTGAGCCTTGAGAGGATCCCTCCTGTACTACTGACTGTAGCTCTGAGCCTTGAGAGGATCCCTCCTGTACTACTGACTGTAGCTCTGAGCCTTGAGAGGATCCCTCCTGTACTACTGACTGTAGCTCTGAGGCTTGAAGGGATCCCTCCTGTACTACTGACTGTAGCTCTGAGCCTTGAGAGGATCCCTCCTGTACTACTGACTGTAGCTCTGAGGCTTGAAGGGATCCCTCCTGTACTACTGACTGTAGCTCTGAGGCTTGAAGGGATCCCTCCTGTACTACTGACTGTAGCTCTGAGCCTTGAAGGGATCCCTCCTGTACTACTGACTGTAGCTCTGAGCCTTGAGAGGATCCCTCCTGTACTACTGACTGTAGCTCTGAGCCTTGAAGCGATCCCTCCTGTACTACTGACTGTAGCTCTGAGGCTTGAAGGGATCCCTCCTGTACTACTGACTGTAACTATGAGGCTTGAGAGGATCCCTCCTGTACTACTGACTGTAGCTCTGAGGCTTGAAGGGATCCCTCCTGTGCTACTGACTGTAGCTCTGAGGCTTGAAGGGATCCCTCCTGTGCTACTGACTGTAGCTCTGAGGCTTGAGAGGATCCCTCCTGTACTGCTGACTGTAGCTCTGAGGCTTGAAGGGATCCCTCCTGTACTACTGACTGTAGCTCTGAGGCTTGAGAGGATCCCTCCTGTACTACTGACTGTAGCTCTAAGCAGCAGGGTGTACAGAGCAGGCTATGGGGACCAAGAAGGGCTTGCATCTGAAATGCAAATTCATAGAGCCAGCACACCTGACAATCTAACCTGAGCTTATGAAACCGAATGCACAGAAGAATAATCTCTACCTTCTTGTGGTGTTGGTAGTCATGTCTATCTATAGCCTTCTGTCTCTGTACTTTCCGTCAGTCCTGTTACGGATAGTTCAGACATTTTCTTTGCAAAATACCCACACTAGGCTGCAGTTTTGTCTGCGAGTGCAGTGCCCATATTGGGCGCGTTGTACTAGCTATTGTCCTTTAGAGCAGGGGTGGGAAGTTTTGTGTGTGTATGGGTCCACGGGCCGGGTTTATAATTACTAACCTGGTCGCGGGCCAGATTTCCTTAAAATGCTATATTTTTGTTGAATCATCTAAGATTATAATCCCTCAATATGCCTTTGGTCAGAAACACTCACACACTAAAGCCTTTGTATATATATATATTACTGAATGTGCCTGTCTCAAATACAGTACATTAAACTTTGTGTGGGTTGCTGAGCCCTATTGTGGGAAAAACAAGAATTGAACCACTGCAGCCCCACCATGCATGTCCTAAGAGTAGACTAGCAGGAATTATCCTTCAGAGTCGGAGTGCATATGGTGGAGAAGCAAGGAACCAACAGTCTGCATACAAATAAGCAAGACCAGTAGAATCGGTGGACAAACAACCATAAATTTAGTTGGTGGGTAGCTAGATAAAAAGTAGAAAACTTTCACACGTGAACAGATTGTTAGATGTTGATTTTCTTTGTTTCATTGAACCATGTACAGGACGTAACGAGAAGGGTCAGCTAGGACTGGGAAACACAGACAGGCAAGACACGCCCCAGGTGTTGGAGGCTTTCCAGGGCCAGAATATCGTTGCAGCAGCATGCGGGCGCAAACATACCCTCTTTCTGACAGGTATTTAATGTGTTTTTTCCTGTGGGTGTAAGTAAACACTAGGGATTATTGCAGGTGCTACGGAATTCGTGCACAGCGCTGACATTCTTTGCTTACAACAGCCGTATCTGTTCTTAATCTGACAGTAGCAATATCTGTTTTTTTTTAAATCTAGCAGTGGTCATATCTGTTGTTTTTGTTAAATCTTACAATAGCAGTGTCTGTATTTAATCTAACAGTAGCCATATCTGTTTTTTTTTTATCTAGCAGTAGTCATATCTGTTTTTTTTGTTAAATCTAACAATAGCAGTGTCTGTATTTCATCTAACAGTAGCCATATCTGTTTTCCTTATCTCCTGAGTAATGAAGTCTTGCTCATTTATTGTCTTGCAGAGAAGGGTAAAGTGTTTGGTTGTGGAGAAAACAAAATGGGACAGCTGGGCTTAGGCAACCAGAGCGAGCAGGTGCTGTTACCGACACAGATCAGATACAAGGGCCCTCCGATTCGACGGATCTCCTGCGGCGGAGAGTTCAGCGCTATATCAGACATCAACGGCAATGTTTACAGTTTTGGATGTCCAGAGTATGGGCAGTTGGGTACGTGTGTCTGCTGCATGTCTGTCCATTGTCTGTGTTTGCAGTCTGTTATTCATCCAACACACGTGTTCTTCTTTGTCTTTGCTCACCAGCTGTAGGCTGCGGCGGAAAGTCCTGGTTTTTCGTCCATTTTGGACTTTGACTTTGTACCAGGGCCTGAGTTTTGTGTGCACATCCGTTTTACTGGTTTATTTGTGTGCAGTTTCTTGTTCCTTGTTGCTCGGGCAGATGCAGTCTAACTTCGAAGGAAGCTCCTAATTAGTCGACTTCTACCCCATGCTCGTTAGGGATGCAGTGGGTCTGTTCTTGTTTTCCTTGATGTTCAGATCTTTTAAGATGTCAATATTTCTCATCTTCTTTGTCCAAGATATTCTGAGAATCTTGCATATGCAAGTTAGAATTGAAAATATTTGACTTGGTTTTAAAACTATACAATTTAAAGTTACATATTGTGTTCAGGCTTTTAAAAGCTGCTGATGCCTTGCTACTGTGTGCCATAATCCATCATTTCTTTCTTTGTATTTCCTTTGCCATCCAAATTTCTACCTAAATGAGTAGACTGATCTGTTACTTGAAGTACTTTTGTCCCTGGTGTTGCGTATGCTTGATCCATTGGTGTCTTCAGTATATTTGTATTTGTCTAACTTATATCATAATTTCTTTCTTTGTATTTCCTTTGCTATTGAAATTTCTACCTAAATAAATAAATTGGTCTCTTTAATTACTTTTGTCCCTAGTGTACTTTTGTCGCTAGTGTACTTTTGTCCCTAGTGTACTTTTGTCCCTAGTGTACTTTTAAAACTTGTATTTTTATAACTGAAATCATCATTTCTTTCTTTGTATTTCCTTTGCTATTGAAATTTCTACCTAAATAAATAAATTGGTCTCTTTAATTACTTTTGTCCCTTGTATACTTTTGTTCCTTGTGTACTTTTGTCCCTAGTATACTTTTGTCCCTTGTGTACTTTTGTCCCTAGTGTTATGTCTGCTTGTTATGTTGTCAGTGGGGGAGTTTTAATATGATATTTGAATGTTTGTTGTGTAGGACACAACACAGATGGCAAGTATTTTGTCAAGAGCAACAAGATAGAGTTCCAGTGTGAGAATGTTCCCAGGGTCATCACAGTGTTTGTGGAAAAACAACGAGATGGACAGGTGTCGTCAGTCACTGATGTCGACGTGAGGGAAATCGCTTGTGGTGCTAACCATGCGGTATGTTAGTTAATATCTCTGTTAATTGCGCTTGTGTACCTAAATAGCCATCTTTTTTTGCCAAAAAAATAGAACTTGTCATGTTTCCGTGCCCTTCTGGGTAAGCTCTGCCCATTTACACACTACCCAACTTTTCATTTATACATGTTGAGGCCAGTCAACTTCTGTCAAGTTTAGAGGGGTGTCGCTGTGTCTGATGGGCTTCAATTTATGACAGATTTGCATTCTCAATACATCGGGATCTCACTCTCCTGTCACGCAAGCTCTATATTAGAGCACATGAGCAATTTCAAAGACCCTATAGCATGTATAAATGGTCCTAACCCAAAACCTATTCGCCACACACTGAACCTTCTGCAATAAACTCATTTCTTGCACAAAATCCTCAACAGTGGTCATTCACCAATAGGAAGTCGCTGAGGAAAACCAGTGCAGTACAATGTGTACATGCCCGCACTCCAATATGTAAACTAGATACCTTACACCCCTTCTACTCACACTTGTCTGACAGCTTAAGGCGGAGACTGGACTTCCAATCACATAAGTTGGCAGAGCCTGATGGGCGGAGCTGACCTAGATGGGCCTCAAATCGTGACATGTTGAAAAATATGTATATTTTCAACAATAAGGTTTTTATAATATGAGGGCCAATAGACTGATGGTTAGAGTATAAAGAGGCTTGGGCGATCATGCCCGTCTAAGATCTGCAATTGCATATATCGGCTCTTGTGCTGACACTGTCTATGCCATGACTAAAGGCTGTCAAGATTCTTCTTGTGCTGTCTTCCTCTGTTTCTTTTTCCCACAGATCTTTCCAGTGGTCACAACATGTTTCAATGTTCTTTTTCTCATGTTGTGACTTAACAGGATAGCTGTCTCTTTTTAGTGTTTGTGATAAGACAAAAGGGTTAAGTGGCGGTAGACCACAGGGCCGACCAACAAGACGGTGGAGGGGTGATATCTGGGCAGGCCAACAAACACTTGCGCCAGCTGGAAAGAGAGGGCCAGTCACAGATAAAAAGGTGTGGGATACCTACTACAGCATCTCCTCTGGGCGGAGAGCTACTTTGTGATAAAGCAGACATGGAGAAAGCTGTCTGGGATCAAATGAACAGTGTAATAAAGCAGACAGCGAATTTATTTGCTGAAAGACTAATGGGCATGGAGAGTTTTGGAAGATATTCTGGGGATGGGCATAGTCGACTTTCCTTTGGCTACTAAAGAAGGGGACGGAGCATATGTGGGAATGTCCCAAGCAGAGTGGTGTCATTTCTTGATTTGTTTATTCAGTTATGCAGCACTGAACCTCAAGAAACGAAATAAATGTGATATGCAAGTTTGGACGTCAGTTAATATCCTGAGTTAATGTGTCGAGAACCAGTTGTCTTATTTTCTTTCCCATTCTCTGCAGCTTGTTGTTGACAGTAAAAAACGAGTGTTCTCCTGGGGCTTTGGCGGCTATGGGAGACTTGGACATTCAGATCCTAAAGACGAGATGGTGCCGAGACTTCTGAAATTCTTCGACGGGCCGAATCGTGGCGCTGTACAGATTGCTGCAGGCTCAACGTGTTCTATGGCCGTCAATGAGCATGGTAGGTTCCGCTGGAGTGTCTCTTATTAAGTTTATCGTTTCAGTCCACATTTTCCAGGGCCCTCTTATGAGGGGGTGGGGGGGGAGCGATAGACCCAGTGACACCAAAACAGGTAGTGTGTATCCTTTACATGAATAACCTACCCCAGCATATTTGGGCTGTTGGTTTTTCAGGGCAAATTTTTCATTGAATAGTTTGTCATTTCCGTTGCAAAGGTTAGCTTTAAGTAACACATTAGAAGCTTTTCCTAGATCTGTAATGGACTGTTATGCGTCATCTCTTGGTGAAAGATGTATGTTATATACATATTGATAGACACTTCTGCCACAGTAGAAACATGAGTAGTAACATATGGCTTCTATTTTTGCAGGTGCATTGTTCTTTTGGGGCCAGACAAAAACCTCTGGTGAAGCCAACATGTACCCGAAGCTAGTGCAGGACCTGTCTGGGTGGAAGATCCGCAGCATTGGAACAAGGTAGGTGTGCAGTCGGGCTTAGCATTCTCTTTTGTGATGATCGAGCTGTTTTGTCTTTAGTTTTCTATCTAGAAATTCTGTTCAGTTCCATGTCCATATCTTTAGTTATAACAATATAGATATGGGAAGGATAGAGGACTTTGGCGGCAGTAAATCCATATCACTCGCCAGAATGGCAGACTTGGGAATTAAGATCGGCATAGCAAAAAACGAGACGCACACCAGACACGCCAGAAGGCGTGTTAATCAACATAGAACTGGTACTATTAGCCATCGGACGTTGGGGTTCATACTGAGGGGAAGATCTGAGCACCTATGGACATGTTCGGAGTGCAGTGATGATAACCCAACTAACTAACTAATATAGATCCACTGCTGCTTAATAAACATGTCATAAAAGGTGACATATTGGGGATTGGCTGAAATCTGCCGAAAGGCGAAAATATCACAGCTGAGCTGTGACCTTTAAAGGCTCTTCTTTTTAGCATTGACTGGCAGAAAGTTCTGGTTGCGTCCACTTCTAGGCTTTAGCCGAGAACCTAAGTTTTGTGTGCAGATTTGTTTTACAGATTTGGTTTATTTGTGAGCAGACTGTTGGTTCCTCACCTTTCAGCTAGTTGTACCCAATTAGTTGCCTTTTCCCACTTGTTTGTTGGGGGGGGGGGACTCCTGTCTTCTCCAAACGGGCCCTTTAACCCACATTGAGGCTTCTCAGAGCGAGTGCTGCAGAAGAGAATGAAGACACAATAAAAGACATGACACACACAGAGCAAACACTCACTGGCACACCTAGGCAGCATGCTAATAAACATGCACATGCAGAATAAGGGAGAATGAAGAGGGAGTGTTGAAAAGTGGTTTTGTCATTTCAAATCTAATTGGCTGTTTTTGTTTGCAGTAACAAGAGCATCGTTGTGGCAGCAGACGAGAGTGTAGTGAGTTGGGGCCCTTCTCCGTGCTTCGGAGAGTTGGTGAGTTATTTATGTTTGCTGCAGCCTCCTTCTCGCCAGTTGTGTATGTCATGTTTATTCTCTAAAGTCGGACCGGGTCTGTGTGTATATCTGTATGTTTATGCAGACAGATTAGCTGGTGTGTATGGATGCATGACAAGCTAAACGTGGTCAAGGCCCTCTTGGATCAGTGTACAATGCTGAAGCCGGAATATATTGTTATGGTCTGAGAAGAATGTGCAGTGGGACGTGTTCTGGAAATCTGGCTGACATTCTATACTCATTGGAAAGGCAAGACGGACATAGAATCAAACTGGCACCATTGGAACTGGCTGCTGAAGATGGAATTGGAGCGTTTCTGGGAATATCATGAGTACTGCGATATCGGTTCTTAACCTGACTTGTATGTATGTACATATGATGATTGTTATATACGTAAAAGAGAAGACAGGCAGAGAGAGTTAGATACGTGGCACCTTCATTAGGGTGTCAGAAGCGATACTTAAAAGTGAATAGACAAACAAGGAAATGTAGCATTGTGGTTTCTGCTTGCCCTGCAAACCATTGTCTTGTCCTACACCTGAATGTCTTGTCCCACAAACCATTGTCTTGTTTCGCACCTGTATATCTTGTCCCCCAAACCATTGTCTTGTCTCACACCTGTATATCTTTGTCCTCTAGGGTTACGGCGAGGGTGGCATCAAATCCTCGACAGTTCCGAAAGAAATGAAGACTTTGGAAGGCATCTACGTTCACAGCGTGGCCTGCGGGTTCTCCCATACACTCCTCATTGCCAGAAACGACACAGAGGAAGACCAGAAAAACCTGGACAAGTTGCCAGTTTACAAGCCATGATTTCTGTCTGTTGTTCGGTTCCAGATTTTTACACAAGTTTCCGTGAGTGTGTGCGTGGTGCTGCAAAAGATCGTTGTTTTGTTTGGGGGAGGGGGGTGACGTTTTATCGAAATTGGTGAATTAAAAGACAGGATGACAGTTTCTGGGATCAAATTTCAAGTGTGTGGAATGCCAGTTATGTGGGTTATAAACCCCTTCATTCGTCCCTGAAAGGTTTATGGTACGCTGTGTTGTCATCATCATATCCTGCATTTGTCATTGAAAGTGCATTTTTCTAAACGAGTTGACAACAGAAAAGTCTAAAACGAAAGATTGGAAAATGCGTACAGTGTATTTCAGTTCTACAAAACCAGTTCAGTAGATTAAACAAAGGGCGTTACAGTGATTAGCTTTCATCAGCTGAACAAGACAGAGCACAAACACAGATTGTCTGAACCGAAATGAAAATATTATTGAAATTGAAATATAATGTAAGCAAAATAACCAGCAAAGGTTTTTTAAACTAGTTCGAACTCTTAAGCCATACTACTTCTTCTTGACGTTCACCGGCTGAAAACTCCTGCGGAAAGTTTTTTAAACTACTTCGAACTCTAATGCCATACTACTTCTTCTTGACGTTCACCGGCTGAAAACTCCTGCGGAAAGTTCTGGTTGTTCGTCCACATCTAGACTGAGTGTTGCGTGTGCATCCGTTTGACAGATCTGACTTTGTGAGCAGTCTTTTGGTTCCTTGCCTCTCAGGCAGATGCACTCCAACTCCGAAGGAAGCTCCCAATTAGTCGACTCCTAGGGCAATGGGTTTGTTTTAATTGTCCCTTTAATAGGGCTTCGGAGCCCACACAGGGAGCAGCATACTACTTGATGTCAGTGGTCCTGTTATTTGCTTCTTAAAAAATGAAAACGGGTAATTTGTTTAGTAGGTTAAGAGTTTTGGCATTCCAGAGGTAAAAACCCTGGCATCCTGATGGGAATTCTTATTTTATCTCAGATTTTACTGGTCAGTTTTGTTTGCCTAATTGTACATGGCGAGACGAGTGGTTAAACCTGTGTACATTGTTTTATTAATTCACGGGTTGTTGATATGTATGTGTTAATGCAATTGCTACTTAACGATGAGATGTACTAGGTTATATATTTTGATGACAATATGTACTTGATTTTTATGTAGTGTTGTTACTTAAGCTCAGAATAATAAAAAAAAAAAATTCCAAATCTGAAAATCTGGGTCAGTTGAAAACAATTTTAGGCTCAGATCAGAAGAATATCATGAATTTTCTGTCCAGGGTAATCATCAGGTAGGCTGGTTGGCTGCTGCCGCCCCTCTGAGTGGTGAGCTACTTTAGTCGTCATGGTGGCAGCTTTCTGGGGTCATGTGGACAGTGCAGCAGAATAGACAGCGTGCATACATTTAGCGAGGGGTGAGAAGAGGTTCCGGACAATAATCAACGCTGAGAGTAGAATGAGTGGACTTTTTCTCAAATTGCTCTGGCATTATAAGCATGGGAACTGTTGGTTGGATACTGAAGGATTTGGAGCCTGTGTGGCAATGTCCCGAGTGCAGCAATGAAACTTAAAAATATGTGTTAGTCAACTAAATAGGCCCTGCCTTTAAAATCAGAGTACATTACCTGAGAGGCAAGGAACCAACAGTCTGCATACAGATGTCAGATCTGTAAAACAGATACGCACATAAAACTCAGATTTTGAAACATGGTTAACTTTCTACTTGAGTTTACAGCCACAAATGACTGGCATGTTAGCCACACATGATGTGCTAAAGTCTGGCATGTTAGCCACAAATGCTGTGCTAAAGTCTGGCATGTTAGCCACAAATGCTGTGCTAAAGTCTGGCATGTTAGCCACAAATATGTGGAAGTTTGTGTATCAGCCACAGCTAATGTGCTTAATTCAAAATCTTTCAGCCACATTTAACAAAGCTCCTACAGAGACCATACTGAAGGGAGGAACATTGAATGCAAGAGGCAGACCGATACAAGTGGGAGGATAATCTCAAGGCATTGACATACAGCAGTCAGATAGTGGTTGCAACCAAGAGAGATAATGTTGCAGATCCATTGCGGCCATACTTTATTATTATTGAGAAATGCTGTATTAAATGTACTAAAAGTCTCCTGTGCCATTATACATCTAATATTTTGTCAGGACAAAGAGATCAGAATAATTGATACTTTGTCTAGTGCCTGTTTCTGAAACAATGTTTCACCATGGAAGGGGACCCTTCTACCATTGCCTGTAGCTTTTTGAGTCCTAGAAGGTGTTGAATATATTCCCAGGCAGCGCAGTAACCATGACTTTGCAAAAGTGTAACTTTTATTAGCCAGAGTGTACAGTGACTAGAATTGGCCACACAGGAAGCCAGATTTCACAACATTCTCTGACCAGATATGAATAGTGAAAAAAACGATATATGATTTTGAGATTCAAAGAAAAGAGCCATTTACTTATTTGGCATTGCTTGGGACTCGCTTGTGTTGTGGTTTACGGCTAGGCAGCGATATCTGCGCCTGTCAGCCCAACACATCCCTTTTTAGTCACCTTTTACAACCTGCTTGTTTGCTGGCAGTTGGTCTGTTTCCTCCAAGTGAGGTCGCAGAACCCATCTCACTAAAAAACAAACCTTTATAACTTGTCTTGAGAAGAAACCTGGACACAGATTGCATTATTTGTGGTTGTATGTTTTTATGTCCTGGTCTGTCGTCGATTTAGTCAGAGAGATTTTTTTTATACCAGATTAGTTTATTTTGAATTTTTAGGTGTACATATTTGAGAATGTTAAATAGATAAATGCTGATACTTGGGGTTTTGTTGTTTGTGGTTCATCTTGTGTGAATAGTTGCCAGATGATCATTAGTGTTGTGTTTAGCCATTGCCAGATGGTCATCCATGTTGGAATGAGAGTAGCTGCCAGTTTGTCATGTTATCCATTGTTACAAGTTGATTAGATGAGCTGAAACTAGTTGCCATTTCTGTTTAAACGTCACTACAATGTTGTTTTCCACATTTTTATCTCATCATTGTCTTTTCTGGTTTTCTTGTATTAAACATTTTTTCACTGTCATTGCTTAGTTTTTGCATTGTAGTTTCAAATCTGTTAAAAATCAAATACCTCAAAGTTATGGGGGAGGTTTTTTTTTTAAAATGACAACCTTACAAGTTTGACAGAAATTACAGTAACCATGCTCATGTCTTGTAACCTGTTAATTTAGTTGTTAAGGAAGTCAAGAGTAACAGTCGACTCTAGGGGTCACTGCTCGGTGTGCCTGACCTGGTCGTAAACAGTCTGTCACAGAAGTTACTTACTTACCTAGTCGCTCTTCCACCTGGGGGTACAGAATAAAGATGTTAAGCCAGAGAGATGGCCAGACTTCTCTCAGCAGTTTTTGGCTTTGTTCAGGTCAGTGAGAGATTGTTGGATTTTGTCTGTAACCAGTGCCAGTTTCTCATCGTTAAGATCCACCCGGTTTTCTCTCTGTGATGATTTCTAATTGTAGTTTTAGGAGAACAGGGATTGGCTTGCTGTGCCATTGCATGGTGGAGGGGAAGCCTCCATGGTTACCCACTACTTCCAGAGATGCATCAAGCACCAAAGAAGTCACACCATGCTGTTCAAAAACCTCCTACTCTACCCATACACGTGCAGAGTGGCAAGCACAACTTCAGAGGTCACTGGTAGTTAGCGTCATTTGGAAAAAAAAATTCCAGGTGTATTATGAAATGAGCAGGCTGATAGACCGGCTGGTTCTGCACCGCTTGGTGGTGAACTGATGTATGACAAGTTAGATATTGTGAGGGCCTTTTGGAACATGTGAACAGTGTGGAGGCACAGATAGATCATTACGGTCTGAGGAGAATGGCGCTGCGAGGAGTTACCAGGGGATCTTGCCGAAGCTTGACACTCATGGCAAAGTCAAGACGGATATACAATCAGACAGTTACTGGTACCATCGGAACTGGAACTCTTTGCTTGCTGCTGAAGATGTGGAGGGATTCAACATTCACTTGCTGGACTGATGGACATGCATCACTGTACTGGACCTTCACTTGCTGGACTGATGGGCATGCATCACTGTACTGGACCTTCACTTGCTGGACTGATAGGCATGTATCACTGTACTGGACCTTCACTTGCTGGACTGATAGGCATGTATCACTGTACTGGACCTTCACTTGCTGATAAATTTCTGTAGGTTTCACCCCTTCACTGGTCAACAAACGGGTAACAGATTTCTGCTCCTCACTGTTGCATGTCATGGAGTGGTTAACTTTAAACTGTCATGAAATCACTATGGTTATCTGCACCATGATGTCACACACTTAACACTCTTAACATCCTTAACAATATTGACAGGTTATATAGCAATGGCATGATTATTGTTTCTATCAAATTTTTTACGTTCCATCTGAAGCCCTCTTGTAAATGGTGTGAGAAAATAACTATTTAAGAGGTGAGGGAAAGACGCTGATATTGGATAGGACACACACTGAAAAAACCTGAAAACAATACAGACAGAATGTCTTTGAGCTGGAACTCGCAGGGTTAAAGGGGTGGAGGCAGACCAACAAACACACAGAAAGTGAAGGACAGTGAGTTGGTAAAGGAAAGGACGAGTTAGTGCTTTTGTTCGTTTTATAGCATCATATGCCTCATTCGATGAGTACAAGTTCCTTTACTCTTGTCAGAGGGCCACCATGGTGTAGCGGCTAGACGCCCGCCTGTGGATTGGAATGATGTAGGTTCTGGTCCTGGCGGAGCCGGACTTGTTTCAAAAACGACCTTGGCTCCCAGGTCGACCCAGCCTTAAATGTGCACCAGGCCCAGTCCTGGGAAGTAAAGGTGGCCAGCATGATGCTAACTACATCACCCACCAAGTGCTGATTGGTCTATAAAATATAGGTCAAAGCAATATTTCCCCATGTTAAATTTTAATAAAGAGTTAACAAACAGCAGATTGCACAATTTATTGCCTGGCATATTTCGCTGTATTTCGTAAGGTGCATACTACAGTTACATAAATAAAGCAAATAAGTGAATCCTTTAAAGTACAAATTCAACAATGATCAAGCACAACTGCTCGTTTTACCAGTGTCATAATCATATCTTTTTGTTTACACAGTTCAGAGCGGAGGTAACAAATTTTACATAAAATAAACTTTTTTTTTTTTTTTAAGTATCCAGAAACCATGAGTTGTAAACCCTTTGGCTAGGTTCTATGGATATCGCAACCCTTCGGCCTTGATTCCATTATAGGTACCGTTAATCTGGGAGAAATTTGGCTTTTCTGCCTTTTCTGGCAAAATAAACTGCAATCTATTGTTTGTGTCCTCTTTATTCAGAAATAAAATATAGGTCTTCTCCATTACACACCTCAAGGTGTGGCAAGGGGTCCATTACTTTTGCTGTTGTTTAAACCTGGTTGGTCACATATCACAGAAACATATTTGCAACAAAAAATATACAGTATCACCATATTCCATGACAGAAATGCAAATATTTTAATCTTCCCATTCATACTCCTCTAAATGAAAGACAGTTTTATCATCCAATCCAGCATTTTCAATCGTGTCCTCAAGGTCAACGAAGACGACCTTTGGGGAGGTCGCCACAACTAGAACGTATCCATGGAAACTCCTGCCAGCTTTCTGCTGTGCAAATTCCACAATCGACTGGAGCATGTCACTACTTCTGAAATATTTCTGATGCCTGGTTCCGTCTGTGGGTAGTTTGACAGCCAGTAAAACCTCCCGGGAGGCGGGGCTTTCTGGGCTCGGTATAACAACTGGCTTCATGGCCAGGGGTGTTCCAAGATTGTGGATAACTATACCGCTGTCGTATCCAGAAGCTGAGGATTGCATGGAGTCTGAATCATCATCATCGCCATCGTAGAGGTCGCCAGAGCTTCTCTGAGTATGGTGAAATGATGCCTTTGATTTTCGGTGAGAAGATTCGGAGTGTGAAGGTCTCCTTTTCCAGGTCACTTCTGGTTTTTCCAGCTGAGAAAGGTCTAACCTCTCGATAAATTCAATGCTAGCATTTATGTCTGATGTTTTCTGCGATTTAAAGCTGGTTCTAGTTGACGAAACAGAATATTCGGACATCGCAGGTATGTCTTTGGAAGTTCCGATTGCCGTATCTGACTTCTTTTTTGCCGGCAATGTTTCATGGCGTCTGCTATGTTGTTGAGGATTGTGCTGTAGTTTTGGTTGTACGTGTGAGATTCTGACAGTGCTTATCTCAAGGGGTAATGTGTCCATCTCTTCCACTGGAATTGGAGTTCCGATGGCAGGCAGGGGTCGGTACTTTGAGAACGACGAAGGTGGCCGTGCAACAGGTTTATCTGGCAACTCTTGGTGGAGGAAAATGTATAAATATTATTGAAGATTTGCATATTGTATAAAACTGAGTTTTATTTTTTCTTAAACGTGCTTACACATATGTCAGTATCTATTCTTCTTCTTATTGTCTTGAGTTCTGCATGCATATCCGTTTTACAGATCTAGCTGTTAGTTCCTCACCTCTCAAGCATATGCACTCTGACTTTAAACAAAACGTCCCTAATTAGTTGACTTTTACGACATACATAGTGGGTGACTGCAGTCGAGCCTTTGACAAAAAGTGCTAAAAACAACACAAAATGTGACTGGAAAGCTCAACGAAGGGAGGGGAAAAGACATGCACAAATACAACCAAATGTTTTGACCAAAGTTTCTATCAATGGAGTACTAAATACAGCATATAAAACCAATTAACAGTATAGGGACATACAAATAAATACACAGTGCAGGCTTTCTAGTTGCATTCTGATATCTTGTCTTCTACAACCTGCTTTTTAGAGAAGCAGTGGGACTATTTGAAAGACACAAACATAAAATATGTACAATATGAAACAATCAATAAATTATGTTAGGACAACATAATGATCGGGGGGGGGGGGGGGGGGGGGGGGGGGGGGAGGGCTAAGCCTCTTTCACATTTTCTGTTGTCTTTATAGGAAGTGGGGTGGGGGATGTATGTGTCGGCACACCTTGTTTAAATGTATAATAATAATGTGCTAAATGGCAAGTGAATACAAAAATAGATCTGAAAAAATATGAACAAAATGCTTAAAAATACTTTTGTATGCAGTTAAAGGGGTCCTGACTTCTGTATGCGATTGAGGGGGCCCTCCAATACATTTCTAGGGGTGATTAAGGACCCCCCCCCCCCCCCCCCCCCACCACACAAAAAAATTTCTGCTGGGGGGGGGGGGGTGGCTTAGTTAGGCTAAGCTCCTGCCATGTGCTCTCGGGACCCCATAGACTATAAGATCTGTACCAGAGCCTATCAACTGGCGGTCTGCAGGCCTAATCTGGCTCACCGAAGCCTAGCAAGTGGCCAGCGGGTGCCTGCTAGTTGTATTGATGATCTGCCTGCGCCTTTGGTCTGTGATGATCCTTTTTTCAAAATGTCTAGCCCCTGAGTAAACTTACTTGATTAGCCCCCCTTGCTCTATACTGTCTGGCATGAAGTCATGCATTGTTGTGTTCGCTGTTCTGGAACCAATAACAAAATAACTTACATTTGTGCTCTTAAAGGGCAGTTGCCACTTTGTAGTTTACAGCTAGGCCCAACATGTCCTTCTTCTTCTTCTCTTCCACCTTGTACCTCATCGAATTGTCGGGGGGAGATGTAATGTTCGTTGATGAGCTCTGTCAAGAGCACTATTGAGACTGATGTTCATTTCTGTAAGGCTGTTTTTAATGCCATCACTCCATATTTCCGAGGTCTTCTATATCCGTTGTAACATTTTAGTGTGGCTCGCTGTGGCGAATAGTACCAGGGCATTCTTGTTAGGTATCCAAACCACTTCATTTGTTGTTCTTTGATGACCTGTTAGACTGGCTTTATTCCTAGCATTCGTCTGATTTCATGATTTCATATTCTGTCTTTCCTTGAAACTCCTGCAGCTCTTCTAAGGCATTTTATCTCTGCTGTCACAATTTTACGTTCATTGGAGGATGTAAGTGTCCACGTTTGGCACTGATAGCATAACCCAAAATGTCAAATTTCTGTAAATCCCTAATTAGTGACCTTTTACAATACGCTTTCTATACGACTGGGTCTACGCCCCCACTCGCCCAATCCCAAAATAGTGGCCTGGGAACCCACACGGGAAAACAATTTGATAATGTCTTAAAGTAGAATACCAAACAAAGTTAGTCAAACGACAGCTAGTATAGAAATACAAGCAAGTGAAAGTTTGGGTTAAACTGGCACTCTCCCAACATGACAAACACACACATTTATTACAGTCTTCTTATTTATGTATGATTTATTTGGCTCTCCTTCGAATTTTGTCCCCATAATATGGCGGCCAAACAAATACCCTAACAGGACCTCAGTCATATGCAAATTGTGGAGTGCCTGCCGAGGAACAAATCGCGGCAAAACTAGGATTGCCTCCGAATAATAGGCCAATATTATCGAGGGCAAACAAATACTCTTAACGGTGTCTCAGAGATTGTTAATTGCGGACCTATTTCTGCGACTATGCCGCACCGCCAACAGCATTCCCCGAGCCACTACGCGCGGCACGGATTAGGGCCTAAACTAGATGGCTGGGACTCACGAGCAAATAAATTGGAGGAAGTTACAGGAGATGCGGTAGCTGTTTCTCTTGAGTCCCAGCCATCTAGTTTAGACCCCCATCTGCACACAGCGGCGCGGGGGATACGCTCAGCTGTGAGTTTAATCGAGAGAACACTATCGCTAACCTGTGTCGAAGCGCGTGGTCTCTCCGCCATTTAGCTATTATGGTGTGTATTGCTGTGTTTCTCGAAATTTTCAAGGACAGTAATCCTAGTCCCCTGTGTGGGTTCCGGGGCCCCATTGTGGGGAAAACAAGAATAGACCCACTGCCTCCCCAAAAGCATGTTGTAAGAGTCAACTAATTGGGGAGCTTCCTTTGAAGACAGAGTGCGTCTGCCGGAGAGGAAAGAACCAACAGTCTGTATACAAGAGAATGAGATCTGTAAAACTGATGCACACGCAACACTCAGGTTCTGGAGCAGGACTGCAGTTCAGAAGTAGACGAGCAACCAGAACCTTCCGCCAGAGTTTACAGCTGGTGAACGCGAAGAAGAAGAAGAAGTAATCCTAGTTTTGCCACGATGTGTTTGTCAGAGGAAGTCCGCATATTACACACGACTGAGGCCCTGTTAAGGTATTTGTTTGGCCGCCATAATATGGGGAGGAAGTTTGAAGGAGAGCCATTTATTCAAATATGATCATCATGTATTACTATGTTTACAGTGTAGTGTATTTAGGAAAATACATTTTTAAATCCATGGAACTCCCTGTGTCGGTCCCGGGCCACACTAAGGGGAAAACCGGAACAGACCCACTGCCTCCCCAAAACACATGTCATAGGAGTCGACTAACTGGTGGCATTCTTCGAAGTCAGAGTACATCTGCCTCAGACACAAGAAACTAAAATTCTGCATACAAATAAGCTAGATCTGTGAAAGGGATGTGCACACAACTTCAGGCGACTTAAATTGCGCACTTCCGGCTAATACCGCCACCGCTACGTGCGGCGTGGATTAGGGCTAAACTAGATGGCTGGGACTCACGAGCAGCAGCTACCGCATCTCCTGCAGACTCCTTCATTTTATTTGCTTGTGAGTCCCAGCCATCTAGTTTAGCCCCACTCTACGCCGCGCATAGCGGCATGGGAGATACTCTCGACGGCGGTGGAAATCCGCAATTTACATGTGACTGAGGCTCTGTTAGGGTACATACTCGGCCCTTGTGGGACCGTTATTCGGAAGATGGCAGAAATAAGAATAAAATACCTTCAGTACTGAGATGGGAGGACGCCTGTGAAGGATGCTGTCTTCTGGTGGATGCGGCTCTGATGGAAGCACTAGAAGGGCGCCCAGAAGAGCTTGGAGGTCGAGGCTGGCTATAGGGCATGTTCTGTAGGGAGTGCCCAGAGGAGCTTGGAGGTCGAGGCTGGTTATAAGGCTTGTTTTGTAGGGATTGAAACGAAGCATCTGGGCTAGACTTGGACTTGGCTGTAGATGAGTACATGTGTTTGTTTCCTCTGAGGATGTGATGATGACTGCTTTCCCAGATTTGAATTATTCCAAGTCACTCTCTCTTTCTCTCTCTATCTCTTCAAGTTACTGTAAGGAAAAAAAATATAACCAATACCACAACAGTTACATAAACTGTAATCTTAGTTTTAGCTTCATAGCAACGGGTCACCCCATAGTTATAACTTAAGGATGTGTACCTCAACCTTCCATGACTAAGCTAAAGCTACAACAGCGCACAACTGGTAAAAAGTAAAATGCCTATATTTCACCTGGTTTTACAAGCATACATTATAAATTTGAAACTAATTTACCCTAATATAACTCAAACATAACGTGCAGAAACATTAGAAGTTTGAAAAGGCAAAAAACGCAGAGGCCATCTCTACTACTGCAGTAATTGCCAACGAATGCGTCTTATTTACCATGGCGACCTGATGGCGGCCGGAACTTCCGCCATGTTGTCCGCAGCCGGGCTCACTGGAGAGTGGCCTGTCTGTTGGTTTTAAATCAGACAGACCCTCTTAAGCTCTTGTCATTTATAAAATACTGACGAGATATGACCGAACCGTGTCATCATCTGTTTCGCAATAAATTTGGTGCAAGGTGTTGTTCACACGATGACCTACTTAGGAAGGTCATGTTCTCACAGTCAGTTTGATGCCAGCATTTTTTAATCACGAATGGTTGAGTTGTGACCTTTCCTCTTTTTTTTTCAGTCAGTGATTAAAATGTTGGATGTGATTAGCTTTTCCAATAGTAGTAATGGCCGTGGGAATAATTATGTATTTGCAGCAGCCTGCTGCCCATAGATGGGAGGTCTTTAAAAGATTCAACCCTTTTTTTCCTCTCTAAAGTGGGAGGTAACTTTTGTATAGTTTAAAAGAAGGGCAGATAACTGTGTATGTATGTATGTATGTACGTACGTATATATATATTTTTTTATGAGGGCACACTTTTGTAAAAAAAATTTTGGGGTAATGGGTAGACGTTTGGGCGGGCTGTACCTAGGGCAGCCACTTTTGTTTTAGGAGCTGTTTTAGGTAGGGTTTGTCGACTGGCGTGGGTGTATGCCTGATTGCGTATAGGGCTGTTACACGGAAGCGCCTCTACTATCATCATCATGTGTTGACTGGTGTGGGCAATTATACTGCTTTATAACCACTGCCAATGTACAGAGTAACCTATTCACCTTTCTTTTTAGGATGAAAATTTTCTTTATTTGAAGCCCCACACTGGCTCTTGCCGGGGCCGCAATATAGCCAGGCCATCAAAATTGCCTAATGACTGAATGCGGCTTTTGGGACCTCTCCACGGTGATCCTCATCCACATGGTGGCACATTGTGTCACTGGGTGTTTATCGCTTGTGTGATGTCCTGGGGGGGGGGTAGAAAGCCAGTCAGCCAATATAGAAAACACTAACCAACTTCTCGTGGCAACAAACAGCAGAGGTGCTTGGAGGTAGCTGCTGCATCGGAGGACTGAGTACGCATGAGAATGGCCTATGTGCGGTGATATAAATTGTAATTACACAACTGTCAGATTGGATTTGGGGGGGGGGGGGCAATGGAAAGGAAAACAAACACGACTTTTTCTTTCTGAAAATATTTATTCACATATTTAAGAATTTATTTTTACATACAAATTTTGTTTATAAAATGCATTAAAAAATCTAAAATATCAGTGAGTGTGGCTAGCAGGGCGGTAGAGAAAATCATGTACCTCCATGTTTGTCCGTGACTAAACAACTGCTCATGAATAATTAAAATATTCAATTACTTTGATTATTCTAAGACTACTCTACATCTCACACAATATGCACACACCCGCACATGTGTACACACATATATACCCACACAAAGATTGTACAAACTCTCACAAATGTATACATGCCCACACAATGTACAGGCATGAATACATACATGCACACACACATATATGTATACACTATCCCCATGCCCACATAAACATACGTACACACACACCCTCACAATGTTTCGCCACCACGCTTAACTCTGCTGACACAAAAATTACACTTCTGCTTGGCATTAATTCCCTGTAAATGTTTTTTTTTAAACTTGTCCACTGAATGTCATTCCAATACCAAAGACAAATCATAAAAAACAGTACTAACTGGCAAATCTGTCTGTTGCTCGATCAAGAATATTTAAACTGTGTGACACCAAATTCTCTATGCTTTCAAAAACATGTCAGATGTTTTTTTTTAAACTGACACGATTCCCAGGTCAACACAGCCAAAATTTGGCTGTGAACAAATATCCTGAGAAAATACCAAAATGATGACCCTATAAACAAATCAAGTGATGACTGATCTCACACATACACACAAACAAGTACAAATCAGCATATGTCCTAAATGCCACTGGAATAAAATAGCTCTTTATTTTGTTTTATTTACATTAAAAACTCCAATACAGCAAATACATTCCAGACATCAATCTGAAAGATCAAGGCTTTAAAACATAAATATTTACAATAAATATACTCCAATAAAGTGAAGACTCATTACAAATTTTGTGAACAGTCTTATAAAAATCTGTGAACCCATCAAAGATGCAAACAGCAGGGAATGGAAACTACTGGCATTATAACGCTGACGGACTACGGTGGCTGGGGCAAAGACTGTGTACACAACAGAGTTGAATGGCCTAGACAGCGAGACAGACCAAGAAAACTATGGAGAGATAATATACAGGCAGACCTGCAAACAGTCGCAGTCACCAACTGGAAAGTTGCGGATAATCACAGAGAAGAGTGGAAGCAGGTGATAACTGAGGCTGTGAACTTCAATGACTCAGAATGCTGAATTAAAAATCGACCCCACAAAAATCGGGACATTCCCATAAGCGCTCCATCCCCATCTTCAGCAGCAAACAAAGAATTCCAATGGCGCCAGTAGCTGATTGTATCTACCTCACCTTTTCATTGAGTGCTGAGCATCGACCAGATTTCCTGGTAACTCCTTGCAGCGACATTTTCTTCAGACCATAATGATATCTTTGTCCCTGCGGACTGTTCACTCGCTACTAAAAGGCTCCACAACATCTAGCTGGTCATACGTCAAGTGGTGCAGAACTGTCTTTTTGCCTGCTCACTTCTCAACACACTGGCATGCTGAGAAAATATCCAAAGGACAGTAACTACCAGGGACCTCTGAAGCAACGCGATACTTGCCACTCTGCAAGGAGTATGCCTGTCTCTACCTTTCTTGACATACTTTTTGAGTCAGTTAAAATTCAGACAGCTAAAGAAGGGGAAGAGAGATATATTCCAATAATGATATATCATGTTAAGTTTCAATGTTAAAGATGCACACTCACAAGCAACTTGTAGAGGCTTCAGGGAAATACCTCACAACCCTGCATGGAAACCATATCACTTTAACATGAGCTCCATATTTCTTTTATGGGAAAAAGAACAGATTCACCCCCCCCCCCAACAATTATGTAATAAAAAGCGACTAATTAAGGGTCTGGTGAAATAGATGTTTTGGCCTAAAAGACAAAGATATCACAGCCTAGCTGTAAACCCTGGCTTACGTTACTAATCGCCCTTTAAAGAGGGAATGAAGAAGAGATAGCTCTAAAACCACATCAACGTAACAACAAACAATGAACTACATTTCTGGCTAGCAAGAATTTAACGGTATAACGATATCATTTGCTCCCTTTGTCGGCCGTCGTAGGAGAGCGCCTTTTGGATGACTAGTAACTGGAGAATATGAAGGTAATGACGTCGCAGGTTTGGTCACTCCAAGTTTGCTGGACACAGAAATAAAAATTAGTAAATTAAAAATATTCATCAGTGATGTGAGGGATAACATTTGATTATTGATTAATGATTTAGGAATCTGGGTAACTGTGAAATGTGTGCATGATACATCAGTTCAGATATTAAGTTTTATTAAAAAAACAACTGATTATTAACAATGGAAAGGAGCGGTCAACCACGAACAATACAGTAAATGGGGAAAGATTCCAATAAGAGTTATTCCTATAAAAGTAAATTACCCTGTTCCACGCCTTTAGGCCTATAGGACATATAGGGCTAGGCCTATATTTGTATAGACCAATCGGCACAAGATGGGTGATGTGGTCAGCATCACGCCGGCCGCATTTACTTCCCGGGACTGCACCCGGTACCCACTCAAGACTGGGTCGACCTAGGAGCCAAGGTCATTTTTGAAAATAGTCCGGCTCCGCCAGGGAGCGAACCCACAACCTTCCGATCCGCGGCGAGCGTCCCCCCAGTTACTCCAATACTGGACATGTTATAACAGACAATGGTGGCAGTGAAATATATAGTCAGAAAAAGAGAACAGAAATGGCTAAATTAGCTTCGATATGAAACAATTACTGACAGCTAGAAAGAAAACAAGACATCAATTATGAGAATCACTAAATGATATCAATACTCAACCCTGCTTTCTGGTGAAGAAATCTGGACAATGAAAAAAAAAAGGTTAGTTGCGTATCCTTTACAGGACGTTGCAGAACCAACCCCAGCAGCCCCTGGCTGTTGTGTGGTTTCTCTAGGCAAATTTATGTCCAGTAGTTTGCTATTGCTTTCTGGACGGTCGGCCCCTTGATACCACTGTCGAAACCAACACAAGGCACGTGGCCCACAGCTGGGATCGAACCTGGTACCCTGGCATTAAGAAGCGTTCGCATCGACTTAGCCACAGAGCCGACAGACAATGAAAAAAAAAGCATCTTAAAATTTGATTTGAGTCTCAGGAAATGTAGAAATACAGAACAATCGGCCATATTTCATGGGAACACAAAGGTTTCCATAATGTAGTGATTATCAAGCCGCCCAACACATGAAAAGTCCTGAGTTCCAGCCACAGCAGAATTTGTTTTCTCAAGTATTGGTTCCAAGGCCCCACTTTAGGGTGGGGGGGGGGGGGTGAGAGGGGAGTAATGGACGCAGAGCTCCCAACAAACATGTTGTAAAAGTCGACTAAATAGGCGTGTTTCCTTTGAAGTCAGCATGCATCTACTTGAGAGACAAGGAACTAACAGTCTGCATACAAATAAGCTAGATCTATAAAATAAATGGGCATGTAACACTTAAACTCAAGTTCTAGAACAAGACTATATCCAGAAGTGGACAAACAACCAGAACTTTCTGCCGATCCGTCAGAGTATACATCTGGTGAGAATAAAGAAGAAAAATGGAATGAAAAGAGCTGCCGAAATTTGTTTTTTCAAATTGGTGAAATATTCAGGCTGCATTAAAAGTCACAATGCCCAGTTAAAAAAGATCTTGGACAGAAGAAATGAAGGCAAGTGAGAAAGAGACAGACGGTGATACAAGTGGGATAATTACATCAAGAGATGAACAGCAGCTAAAGAGAGTGTACATTTAGGATGAAAGAGTGTACCGGGGATCTATTGCGGCCAACCTTTATTGCAGAGATGGCAGCTAAGTGACTGAATTTGTGGGAAGTAAAGGTGGTATATAAAAATACGAGACTGACATCATAAACCCAACAAGTCCCTACACAAGGTCAAAGGTTGTATACTACATACACAACAAGTCTCAACACAAGGTCAAAGGTTGTTCACTACACACACAAATCTCAACACAAGGTCAAAGGTTGTACACTTGACAGACCAACTCACCTTTGCTTTTGTGTTCTGCAACCAGCTGACTTGGCCAGATTTCCTCCGGTTTCACTGTTAACATTTTTATTACCATCTGGTGGAAGGCGGCCAAATATTCGCAGTCTGGCCTCTGCATATTCCGCTTCTCTTTGCTGTAGCGACTTGCTGTGTATGGATGACTTCTGAACTCCAACTGTTCTGTAAACATAACAGATTCTCAGTTTTAAAAGACATAGATTTGTTTAGTCTCATTTACTGTCAGTGAGCTTCAATAAAAGTATAAAGTAAAAAGTACCTTTTCCACAACTTTAGGTATAATAAGCATATAGTGCTCAGAGTCAATCAGTCAGGTGGAATATCCTCAATAAAGGTTGGCTGCAATAGATTCACAACATATGGAGAAGGGAGCTAGAGGCTGTTTGCTATACATCTGTTCCAGCATGGATGACGGAACGCTTGAGGTCTTCATTGATGTGCCAGTTTGTCCTGCATGGCAATTTCTACAGGCCAGATTTCTTTCCTCTAACTGGCAAAGTCCTGCCGTACACTGCGATACATGCTCTAGAGTTTGCTATATAATGTGGCAGATGACTGTATGACCAATTATTTCTTCACAGTCATTCCTAGGAGTTTTTAATCAGGCTATTACAACCACATCCTATAAATGTTTAAGTTATCTACTAGTGTTGATTTCTGAGTGGGTTCTAGAACTTCAATATGGTAAGGGAAGGGGGGGGGGGAGAATACCCCCCTCCCCCTTTATTAGGGATTTTTCCTTCAAAGCTGGACTGAGAGGCAAAGAACCAAAATAAAACGAGATATGTAAAATGGACATGCATGCAAAAATCAAGTTCTGGAAAAAACAAAAGTATAAAAGTGGACAAACAACCACATCTTTCCATCAGAGTTTACATTTGGTGAACACCAAGAAAAAAAAAACATATTAAACCTTAAAACAAAAAAAAAATTGCGGTAAGTTGGAGAAAGAGAACACACATCAAACACATCAGATGGTGAGTTTGTAGAAACTCACCTCAAGACCTTGTTTTGATTCTCTGATATATTACTGGGACCTTTGGCTTCTCTGTGCAGGATTCGAACCTGGGACTTCAACTGGGATGCTGCTCTACCATTTGATGGAAGTAAGTCTTTGGGTACAGTCGACAAATCTGAAGACCTGGAGAATATAGAAAACAAACCTCACCTAAGCGGGAGTCCTGTCTGGTTGGTCATTAGTTAAATTACAATTATCATGTTGCAGCAGTGGCACAGCAGTTAGTGTTTAAGGCGACAGTTATTTTCTTTACCCACACAAACTGGCATATCATATGATGTTATTTCCACCCACACAGAAAGACCTTGATATTTTCATCCAGACAGACTTCGATGTTATTTCCACCCACACAAGCATACCTTGGTTTTATTTCCACCCACCCAAGCAGACCTTGGTGTTATTTTCACCCACACAAACAGACCTTGGTGTTATTTTCACCCACACAGTGTTATTTCCACCCACACAAACAGTGTTATTTCCACTAAACACAAACTGTGTTATTTCCACCCATACAAACAGACCGTAATGTTATTTCCACCCATACAAACAGATCTTGATGTTATATGTGCCGAGAGGTAGTGCGGTGATATCGATCACTGGCGTGCGAGAAAGTTAAGGCCGTTGTGATGTGTATAAGGAGTTACTCTGTACCTCACCCTGGGCACCAGCCGGTTCTTGGATTGTTTCATGGATCCTCACTCAAGACTCCTGCTGCACGTCCACGTTGTGCACCATGAATACAGACTTAGCTTTGTGACCTGAACCAAGTTGACGGGGGATCTCGGAGTTGGTGATCTCTAGAGATGTTGTGTCCAGCCTGTTATTTCACCACACACAAACTGACCTTAGTGGTATTTCCACCCAGACAAACAGATCTTAATGTTATATGCACCAAGACAGACTAATATTTTCTCCTCCACACACAGGACTAATTTTAACCTGACATGCAGACTTTTTTTTGTTTTCACTGAGACATCATATTCCCCCCACCTTTTTTTTAAAAAGTATCCAGTAATCATGAGTTGTTAACTTTTTGGCTTGTTACTATGGATACTGCAACCCTTCAGCCTTGACTCCATGATAGATACCATAAATGTGGGAGGAATGTGGCTTTTCTGCCTACCCCCGGACCACAAGGAGTTCGTCACCCGTTCACCGCCCAGTCCGGTTTTGCCAACTACGCTAGCAAGCCTGGCACCCCACCCCCCCCCCCCGGTAACTTGATCATGCTGTGACAACTGAAAATATTTATGAACCTCCCTATATGTGTTTTGGGGCCTTATTGTGGGGAGAACAAGAATAGACCTATGCCTGCCCAAGGGCATGTCATAGGGGTCGATTAATTCTGAGAGGCTAGGAACCATCAGTGTGCATCAAATTAGTCAGACCTGTGAAACAGAGATGCACACAATACTCAATTTCTAGAACAGGACAACAATCGAGAAGTGGATGAGGTCCCAGAACTTCCCGCCAGAGTTTACAGCCAGTGGACGTGAAGAAGATTTATGGACAGAGAGAGGAAGACAGCGAGAGAAGATCGGTCAATCAGGTGCCGTCTGCACACTGAAGGCTGGCTGCAATGGATCTCTAACAAACCCTTGTCTTGATTATACACTTTCTCAGATTGCTGTTCGTCACTTTCTTGATTTTGTCCTCTCACTTGTATCATTGGCAATCTCTTGGTCTCGACCTTTCCCTCCAGTATTATTTTTTAAAGAGTACTGTCTTGTAATGTGGCCGAAAACATATTTCAACATCCTCCTTTCCATTTTATTTAGAAATCAAGAGTAGAACCCTGGCAGCCTTTTGCCATGGCATGAAGAGGTTCAGCAGAGGAACTTATACAGGCTGTTGAAGAGAGCAAAATGTGGAGACAACATGTCAGCAATGCACTTGATAACGACAACTTACTGCCTGTTTATGAATTCCCTGCTCTGTGAGTCACTGGACATTTCTCCTGGCCTTTTAATCATGCTCTGAAAATGAGAAATGCAATCTTAAGCATTCAAATGATAACAAAACATGAAATTCATCAGGAACAATCTCTGGCATCGTGCTGAATAACAGACTGAAAGGACTAAGATAATAGCGCATGATAGAAAGGCAAAAAGTATTTAAACAACTGAATGGCCAAAGACCATCATCAAGCAGAGCAAGACAGTGGAGAGAGACTATCCAGACAGACCCACAAACCTTTGCTGTCACCATCTGGAAACAAAAATCCAACCAGAGGGATGAATGGAGGCACGTGATATCTGCAGCAATGAACCGCAAGGGCTCAGAATGCTGAAGAACAACAATTAAAGAAGAACAGTTTAGCAGTGCCTGACATTTAAAACTGTAAACAGCAAAAAATAATATGATGCTACAATGATGCCACATTCTGGCCATAAAATATCCGAACGACGGTGTTCACATATATCTAAAATACGGACTTTCTGCCAAGGAACAAATCGCGGCAAAACTAGGATTACTTGACAATCAATATCAACATTGCACACGGTAGTAGCAGACGATAAATACCGCATCATAATACGGCCGCCATTTTGGGGGTAAGTTCAAAGGAGAGCCCTTCTTTGTGTTCACTCGTGTTGTGTGTACATCTGTTTTACAGATCAGGCTTTGTTATGTGCAGACTGTGGTTCTTCACCTCTCAAGCAGATGCACTTCAAGTACAAAGGGAACATACATAATGAGTAGACTTGTATAACATGCTTGTTAGGAAGCAGTGGATTTATCCCCCCCCCCCCTACACACACAATAGGGGTCTGAAACCCATATGGGGCGGAGGAAGTTCGATCTGAGACAGGATGCGGTGAAGAACCTTGGTAATTTTTCTGGTTTGAAATCTTACCTGGATAAGAAGAATTGCTGGTTCTTTCATACCATTTTGGGTAATCTGAGAGTTCCTGGGAAACTCCAGCAATCTAGAGGTGTTATGGTCTGAAATTAACATTAACTCTAACCCTAAGCCCTCACCTCATAATACTGGATGGCTATTCTCCAAATAACGGTCCCAAATTATCGAGGTCAAAAATATACCCTAACAGGGCCTCAGTCACATGTAAATTGCGGACTTCCTGCGACTCAAATTGCTAAATTCCGGTGACTACTGCCACCGCCGAGAGTATCTCCCGCGCCGCACGTAGCGGTGTGGGGTTAAACTAGATGGTTCGGACTCACGAGCAGCAGCTACTGTATCTCCTGCAGCTTCCTTCATTTTATTTGCTCGCGAGTCTTAGCCATCTAGTTTAGCCCCACTCCACGCGTAGTGGCATGGGAGATATGGCGGTGGTGGTAATCCGCAATTTATATGTGACTGGGGCCCTGTTAGGGTATATTTTCAGCCTCGATAATTTGGGACCGTTATTCGGAGGATAGCCTACTGGACTATCCAGGGAACTCTCGCACTTCCCAACGTGGTGTGACCTAAAATTAAAGTACCGAATTATAGTAAGAAGACCTAATTCTTGGGTCATCGGTGAGTTCACATTTATCAGGTTTCTGAGTGTAAATAAACTCTAAAAAACAAACTGCACACCGCCTCCCCCCCCCCCCCCCAAAAAAAAAAAACCTTTTTGTTAGAAGCCTTTAAAGTGTCCTTGTGCTTTGCATTGTATAGTTTTTCAAAAAACATTTTATTTTCAAGTATAATGAATTTGTTTTTAGTTCAACAGATTATTACAACTAGTACAAATGAAATTTCAAAACTTCTCTGACTTATTTTTTGACGTCGCCGGGTTGAAAGATGCACTGGTCTATCTTATCTAGTATCTACTCCTTAGTCTTAGTTTAGTGACTTGTCTTAGATGATCTATTCTGAGGGCGTGCTAAATGATGTCCTTATGTAGATTCTTAAATCAGAAAAAAAAACTTGAGACATCAACACCCTAAGAACTGACCAAACCGTATAATACAGAAAAAAAAAACCATGATAAACTGACCAAACTGTTGAGCGGGGCCGGCCAGTCACCGAGGCGGTCAATCATTGAGCCTGGCTCTATGTCCGCCATGTTTTCCTGGCAGAAGTCAAAACCGGATGTGAACTTTGGGATTCGCGGAAGTCAGGTGACCTCTGTTCTTAAGGGTTCTTGGCTGCAACATGATAGTAGTAAATGCGCGGGAAAGACGCTGCAACCTGAAGATGGGGACGGGAGAGTAGTGGAGGGGTCAGGGTTGGGACCACTTGATCATCTACCTCTACACTTCTCCCCTTGAATAAATTTTGTAAAGAGGTTTATCAGCCCCTTCAGCCTTCCATCCCACTACAGAAGACTAGATCTGGGCTGTCTAAATATGTTAATAATTCTACATGGCAGAATGTTAAGCTTATAAGGTTATTTTTGCTTCTGACAGCGCTTTGCTAATGCATTTTCCGCATATAGACGGAGGTTTACGGTTTCACTGCTAAAACTGCTGAGTGCTCGGTGCAGCACTGTGAGCTGTGTTTTTAACACGAAATGACTTTTATTTGTTCAGTGGTTGAGTCGGGGTATTCTATGTGGTCGGTGTTGGTTTACGTGTGGGCTGGTGAAATACATTATGTAATAATTCTACGTTTGTATAGCCAACTTATCGTGACCGACTACTTCCATCAACAACAAACTTCATTTCTGCTGGCGAAGGTTGGCTTTGGTGCCTCTAGCTGGATTGTGCCAGGACATTGTTTTTTCACTAGTTTTTCAAATGGGACAACACCGCGTGTTGAATACGACACTGTTTATGTGAAAAACTATCATTTCTACATTTTCTTCTTCATCTGTGCTTTATCCTCCCAAAGGAGTATAGGCCATCAGCCAACACACGCTAAGTCGATTTATCCTAGGCTATTGCATGCAGCTCACTTAGTGTCCTTCCCATCTTTTTAACTTGACTCTCAAGCTACCTCATGTATTTATTAGTTTATTTTCATTTCTATGCACCTGTAGATTCCGTTGCAAAGATATTCCAGCTATATTGTTATCAGATTTCCTCATCATGTCTCATATCCAACGTCTCTTTGTCCTATCAGGGATTTTCGTTCGCACTCATCAAAGTTCAAAAGAAATTTATTCGCAAAAAATGTTTGTAAAAAATTAATCGACGAGGATGGGATTCGAACCCACGCGGGGAAACCCCAATGGATTAGCAGTCCATCGCCTTAACCACTCGGCCACCTCGTCACTGGTATCGCCAGATAGACATATACATTATATCAGGCTTTAAACCTATGATAATCTCAAACGACTGTTGTATATTGATTCACACGATAAGTTTTCAGTTGTTTAAAAAATTGCCCCGGCTTTTGCTGTGAAGAGGTGGCAATTTACCCCCTTCTTAAGTGAATGAGAGCTGTCAGACCTTCAGTATAGTAAAAGTCTAACTAACAGTCTGTCGGGCTATGATTCTACCACTCTATCAGGCTGTCTATCCGGTTATCAGTCTATCAAGTATCAGGCTATAAATAAGTCTATCCGTCTTTTTATCTTCCAGTCTCTGTCAAGTTATCAATCTTTCTATCAGTTTTTCCGGTTATTAGTCTGTCTGTCTATATCTATACCTAACTTTTTCTATCAGCCTATTTAGTATTAGTATTAGCCTATCTATCATTTTATCAGTCTGTTTGGTCATCAGTTAAATTTTTTTGAAAGAGGCGAGTGCTCGAAGACAGCTTAAACTTAAACATAAGAAAGAAACAGTAGCAATATTTTGATCATAATATAGGAAAAGTGAAACAAAAAAATCATGTGACTACTGGAAATATCTGTCGAAAGACAGACAGAGGGAGACAGTGCGAGAAGATTCCTGGCCAACTTTTGTCTGATATAGAAGGGTGTCAACACACAGATACACGCAGACGAGGGTAGAGGATTTTCTATAAAATTAACTATTGCTCGAGCATGGCAGACGAGGTGGCCGAGTGGTTAAGGCGATGGACTGCTAATCCATTGGGGTCTCCCCGCGTGGGTTCGAATCCCATCCTCGTCGATGTGTTTTTTTCCTAATTAAGGCACGAAAAAAATTCTAACTTGCACAGTTTGTAGCTACATTAGCTAAGTGGCCTCTCATCCCTCCTGTCTTTCTTCTGTTGACCTACATTACTTCTATTTTAGGAGTATATATGTTTATATCTTTTGCATATTGAACTTAGCCTGTTCTCGCAGTCTACTACCCTCATTATAGAAAGAGCTCATTTATTGTGTGTGGAACTAATTCTTCCTCTGGAAAGTTCCTACATTTCTGGGTCGACTGCTTTAAAACTTTTTATAAAAAATATATTTCACAACGATGGAAACAGAAAGTATGGAGATACATTTTGGTCAGAATTTGTTCCAATTCTAGAATTAAAGGCGCCTGTTTTCATTTTAATTAGAATTTTAACGGTAGGATTAAATGTAAAACTCTTCATAAAATCAAAAATGTATTGTTATTTTGTTTAATGAATAAATTTTAAAATTGTGTATTTATAATTCAGCTAGACCAAAATGTAACCCTAATAAAAAATTTTGACGTCTCTTTGAAATGTCACTGCGCCACTCCCACCTTAGTTGAAGACCACTGGTCTAGTGCTTGTCTGTACCTCAGTCTATGATTCCCCTCCAGCACAAATTGCACCAGTGCAGGATGTATTGTTTTCCATCGCTTTCCTTTAATTAAACGTTGACAGAAACTTGTCGTCAGGCTATTCAATTAGCGATGTGACCGGGTCGGACTTTGGAGTGTGCTAATCAAGTTATGAATTTCACAGCTTGCCTGCAGGGCGTGCTGTGAGAACGTTGGATTCTGGTGTTTCCTGTTCAACTATTAAGTTTATGTGGCAATTTCCAGTGTTGTAATTTTCATTAAAATGCCATAGATTTGATCTGCTCACTAGTGTAATTCAGTTATAAATCTCGTCCTTTTTAGGATGAAATTTTCGTTATTTGAAGCCCTACTCTGGCTTTTGCCAGGGGCCGCAATATAAATAAGTATGGCCTAAAGGCTGAACGCGGTT